TTATCACCGTTCATTAAAACATTTAGATGGTCAATATCTAACGACTGAAAAGTTTGATTTAAATTGAAAATTTTGAATGCAATAATTGGAAAATACCAACAACAAATATAGGGTGTCAAATTAAAATTTGGCGAAATACATGATGGGCAATATCCACTTTTACAAACATTAGCCTGTAATTTGCTTTTTGAATTAATAATGGACTTAAGCTTCTTCCAGTGGTCCATTTATATGTTTCATTGAGACTGAGAAAAGTAATGGGCTAATGTGATGAAGATCTAATTGTTTAATAACGTTATTTAAGGACGAATCACTTCAGACATCGCGTATAATTATTTGGTTTATTGTATGGTTGACTTCAGTGTTAACGCCTACGTCTTCATTTTGTCCAGGTAATGGAGTGATTAAAGGGGAACTATTTGAAGGATTGTAATCTCCAAATTTCTAACCTTCACTGAAAGGATAGAATAATTGGCGAAGTTGAATAACTATCTTAAGCACTTAAATAAGCTTCAATAAAAGGATCTTTAATATAGATAAACTGTTGAAGAAGATGGTGAATTGTGATGAGTTATACTCTATATTAGTAGAACTAATGAAACTGTCGAAAGTGCACAAGTTGAGAACTTCTAAGATCTCTCGGTATCTGGAGTAAAACAATCTTTACTCAAGGATTGGATCATGCTTCATGGCAAGTTAAACTGGACCATGATCTGGGAGAATATAAAAAATTGAAAATTTAAAGACGACAATGACAAAGACAGTTAACGGACAACAGGACAACGATAAAGACAGTTAACGGACAACAGGTGAGCTAAAAAGTTCTCTACACATATACAGATATATTTATGAACTTTTAATGCAATAGTTACTATAGTTCTACAGAAGTATGCTTGTAAATGTGGCGTATGTCGGCCATTTTGATGTCCTTTTTACGACCGATGACTAGCACTGCCCATTATTAAGGATCAAACTGAGAATCTTTTCATTTTTTTTTTTTTGGGGGGGGGGCTTTTTTAAGACGATGTAGCCTTTTCAGTCCGCAGTGAGGAAGCACTGCAGGATACAGCCCACAGTTTGACCCCAACTCAGTTTTAAAGATGTTTGTATACGCCATTTGAGGGCCTGTAGAATATGCCAGGAAGACCTCAAACGAATCACATGAGAGCGCAAAACCCAGCGCTCGGTCGATATGGCTCGGATGCAACAAGCCAAGAAAAGTAAGAATGATCAGGAGGAAAAGATGGCCCGCAGGTGACAGTGTGATCAGCCAAGTCCTGTTGCATCCTCCACAAATTACACCTGCAGCAAATGCCAGAGGACCTGTCCTTTCTAAATCAGAATGTTTAGCCACAACCGGCGTTGCTCATGTGTGCAATGTACTGACTTGGCGTATACATGTATTGTCTTTCAAGACAGAAGGATGCCAACAGCTAGGATTTCAAGGGGAGAACACCTTGAATATGAACAGCATGTATTAGTAATTAATGCATTGACTTGTGGCAGCCGCTGTGATTTTATAAAAAGAACAAAGGTACCAGTATTTGCTGATTTGGTAGTTACATGTATATGTAATTATGTGCAGCTTAATATTTTTGCCTTGTTATTTTTTGTGTGTATGTAGTTTTCATATACACAACAATAGCAAAATGCAAAACCAAAAGAAGCCACTTGTTTACAACAATCCTAAACCTTTGTCATCTTGCCGTCATTCTTTATATTGATGTGTGAGAGCTCGTTTCTGATATCATATGCAGGTTTCATTGCGGTGGCTGACATATTAGTTTAAAATTTGTTTTTTATGTACCGTATATACTCGCCTATAAGTCGCTCCGCATATAAGTCGGTAGTATTTTTAAAGATTAATTTTGAAGAATAAACCATTGACCGCTTATAAGTTGGTGCAGTTTCTTGCTAGAATCTCTAAACAATTTTTGATAAATAATCTATTGTATTTACCAAAGTTTCAAAGTATATTTTGGAGTAAGATATCGATAGAAGATCTTTTATTAACAATTTGAACAAATACAAGATCATTTAAAACTCTTAGTACTTGTCTTATGTGCATGTGGTAAATTTGATCTTCATTACCGACACTAGATTAAGTTCCGACCTTTACAAGCAATTATCGTTGGTTTTGTTACAATATTACAATATTCCCTCTTCCAGAAAAATTCCAAATTTTCTAGTATTCCCCTCCAAGTCGGACCTAGACTTTTGATTCAAATTTTAACTCCCCAAAATCCGACTTACATAATTATAGGTGAGTATATACGGTAACACAGCATTTGATGCAGAATCAGGGAAATACTTGATGGTTTTAATATACTGTTTGTAGTGATTTGGGCTATATGGACCGTGGATATTGGTTACGGTTTGGGTTAAGGTAAATATAGCTCAGTGGTTATATCGCCTGACTAGCAATGCAGAGATCCCGGATTCAATTCCTGGTCCAGCCGTAAATTTTCTCATTTCCAGTTAAATTTGTTACCGTGTACATGTACCTCATATTAAAGAATTTATTGGTCTGTATGTGTGGACCTGGGATATCGGCCTGGGTGGCTCAGTGATTGGAGCACTAAACTAGGAAGTAAGATTCCAGGGTACGATTCCCGGTCCGGTAAATTTTTTTTTTCCTGTTACAGGTGGAAGACTTACCGGTTATGTAGTAAAAACCGGAGATTGATACAACATGGAGGGGTCAAAGTATAGTGATACTTGGACAAGAAAATACATGTATATCTCCTCGGAAACGGCATACATTGTACTTGTGTCCAGAGTGAGTACAGAATACATGGAATTCCTTCCTTAACCATGTCAGCCTTGCTGAAAATTCCCGTCTATAACCCAAACATTTAGGTATTTTATGGAAAGCTACTTTGACCCATTTCTAAATCTGTGCTTCCACTACACAGAAGACATTGAGAAATATCCTCCGCCTAAACAAGAAAAGGGAAGCTATTTGAACAGAAAAAAGCCTGTAATAGAATGAGAAAAAATTCGAAAATCAATTATTATCTTGCCATTGTCAGGCGAATTGTGAAGATTTTTCGAATACATAATCTGTGTAGAAAGGAAAAATGTGAATTTTAACAATGAACAATGATTTGGAGTCTTATTTATTTTTTTTATTGAAGAAGCAATCGTTTATATCAGAAGCACGGTCTTTATTTTATCGTGAGGAGTGGTTGAATAAAGTTTTGAAAAGTCATGCGTTTGAATACAATTGATTTACATGTAACAGGAAAATCGTGATTTTGAAGACTTTCTTCATCGAAAGGCAACTGAAAGTAAAAGTTGGATAATCAGATTTTGAACGAAGATCGGGTTCTTCTCAAATGTAATTGTAACCTATTTTGAATTTTGAACTAAATTTTCATTCAGATATATGCAATATTTTTTTGGATTTCGTCTAGCGCCGCACGGCAAGAACGTTCCGACTTCGTAATGAGCGCTTCTCTTCGTCTGATGATACTTAAGATTTACGCAAAAAAGGAATGAATTTAGAAAAAAAAAATGGACAATTTCAAATTTTTCAATTACAAAAGCTCAAAAACAAGACGGTTGATAACAAATTGGCAGTGAAGATTATTAAAAAGAAGCACATGAACCGAAAGTAACGTCATAATGACGTCAGTAACATTCTTGCCGTGCTGCGATAGACAAAACAGAACGCTGTGTTTATCTTAATATTTTAAATTCTATTTTAAGTAATCGAATTAAATTTTAAGGCAGAAAGCAGAATAGAAAAGGGTATATGTAAAATATGTTGATAACATTTGATTATTAAAGATTTTGTAGCAGTTGTGACAATACTTTTATACAATTATCACCTGCATAATATAGTTCGTCTCCCAGTTAGAGTGTGTTCTATGTACGAATATTTCTAAAACGACGCAAGCTATTTAAAAAATGTGTTGAGAATATCAACCAGTCCTGTTTAAAGTAACATTTCACAAGTTATATGGTTGATACAATGACATTGTTAGCAAATACAATTTATCATTAATTCGAATGTTGACTGACGTTTTCCATAAAAATTCTTTGGACATTGCTTACACACTGAATTGTCTACGTTTTTAAGGTTTGCCCGATCATGACAAGGAGCACACGGCGGGTGTGATCCTTCAACTGGGCTTGCTTTGCTCTGTTCCCAATTTGTATTGTTCCAATGGACTTTTGAGCTTGATAACTGTTCGTTATCTTCACATTTCATGTTTCATACCATCTATTAGGTCATTGCTTTTATACTAATTTAACAACGGAATGTTCCGTGTACCTGACCAATACAAAGGGCTTAGGGCGGATGTAACCGGTCAACAGGGGATACTTACTCCTCCTTTTCACCTAACCTCTGATGTTTCCGTGTATTTGCCCTGTTCTGGATTTGTTTGTTTTGCTGGATTTATCACCGTTCATTAAAACATTTAGATGGTCAATATCTAACGACTGAAAAGTTTGATTTAAATTGAAAATTTTGAATGCAATAATTGGAAAATACCAACAACAAATATAGGGTGTCAAATTAAAATTTGGCGAAATACATGATGGGCAATATCCACTTTTACAAACATTAGCCTGTAATTTGCTTTTTGAATTAATAATGGACTTAAGCTTCTTCCAGTGGTCCATTTATATGTTTCATTGAGACTGAGAAAAGTAATGGGCTAATGTGATGAAGATCTAATTGTTTAATAACGTTATTTAAGGACGAATCACTTCAGACATCGCGTATAATTATTTGGTTTATTGTATGGTTGACTTCAGTGTTAACGCCTACGTCTTCATTTTGTCCAGGTAATGGAGTGATTAAAGGGGAACTATTTGAAGGATTGTAATCTCCAAATTTCTAACCTTCACTGAAAGGATAGAATAATTGGCGAAGTTGAATAACTATCTTAAGCACTTAAATAAGCTTCAATAAAAGGATCTTTAATATAGATAAACTGTTGAAGAAGATGGTGAATTGTGATGAGTTATACTCTATATTAGTAGAACTAATGAAACTGTCGAAAGTGCACAAGTTGAGAACTTCTAAGATCTCTCGGTATCTTCTACAATTCAGCGATGGCGCGGTAACAGAACTCGTATTCATCCTGCAAAAAAAAAGAGTTGACAAAATAAAATAATTAATAAATTCCTTGGGATCATTGATATAGAAAATGACATTTATATATTTACCATTGTGGTCATCATCTCAGGTCGCCTGATGTGGATGTCGTGTACAATACTGAACATATCCACCACTCCGTCTACTTTCAGCTGCTCCATAGCGTTATAGACAGCTATAAATACCCCACAACCTGACGCACCGTCACTACAAAATCATTCTTCATTTAATAAATATTTTATTAAAACATGAAAAGGATCCAGCGACCTAAAATTACTTTTGTCTTTCACGTGCTTCAACTATCGAAATTTGAATACGAAAATGTAAGTTTTCCAGAATATTTTTTTTTTAAAAATTCAAAAAATGATTTCTATTCAAAAGATTCAACTAATTTGTCTACATGAAGAATATGCAGAATGCCGCTATATAAAATATATGAGAGCTCAAGACAGAAATAATAAAAAGAATCGCGTATCGTCTTTATTTACCTAAATTGAAGTCTAAATTACCAAATTAAAAACAAAGTTCTTGGTCTCTGGGGCACGGTAAATGTGTATAAATGTGCGATTATCGCCATTTGAGTTAATTGAGGTAGTCAAAATCTAGGCTACGACCGAAAAAATGGTATCTATTTACATTATTCATAGGAAGTACTGTACGTGTACACAAATTTAGCGCAGTCACTGGGCATGGAGTTGCTGGCGAAATCATGAATTAGCGCTTTCCATGTCCGTGCCGTGTATTGTATTTATAAACGATTTCTTAGCGGTATTCATGAATTAGCGCATCGTTGTCTGCGCCAAAGCCGCTAAAATATGAAGCCCGCGTTTTTAAGTACAAATACAGTATATACTATATAAAATAATTTTCCTTTGAAGAACAGCAGGGTTATCATTTTTTAATATCAATCTACAAAACTACTAGTGTTGTTAAGATTTGATTTCGTTCAAATCATTGTCCATGGATTTACTGTGGGGTATGAAAGAAAATACTCTAAAGTGTAGAGAAGGTAAAGTTTCAATTCCAAATACTAGATGATGATCTGAAGAATCACTCCTCCATTCTGTATGAATTTTGATGCGGAGAATTGCTATTGATAAGCTGAATCTGAGTAGAATGTTATTCTATGAGTACTTTCATGTATTGAACTAACTATGACATGACCGTAATGGGTCCCCCTCCCTCCTGCTCCCGTCTGTTACACGCCTCAGTGATGACTGTTATTAACAGTTTGGTATCATGTGGTAAGATGTTTTTGGTGCTCCACGACATAATCTCGTATACATGGACTCGGTGCACTTCAGCATTCTAAATCCAAACAAAATAGTTATAAATAGGATTATTTATAAAAACATTCAAACACATATTCTGGTTTTCAATTGAACTCTTCAATTTGATACGACCCATTTAAACATCCTTGTAATCATTGCAATGTAAATAATATTTTGTCAAATATGATAACTATTTAAATCATCACATGTTTATGTCTTTATACAGCGGATAACGGCCATTCTCTTCCTATCACACAGTCATGGTTTTTGTTTTTCACAGGAATTTGTTTTGTCTATGGGAGTCAGCCCCTTCTTTATTTTCTTATCACAGGGTACCAAACTCATTTTCAGATAACCCCCTCCTTCAGCTTTTATTTTAATAATTTATCAATCATTTACTAACTATAGTTCGCTTCGAGAAACTTCTTTTCTAATAAATCAATACAGACGTCCTTCGTCGACCGTCTTTGTTGTAAATCACTCATTTATTCCTCGAAAATTACTTCAAGATGAAATATATAAAGATGACCTGGAAATAACGGAGAAATCCGTATACAATTCAATAAATTATGGCCTAACAATTAGTATGAAAAACTTCAGTCAGAATCTGACTTAATGTTAGATTGTATTTGCTGACAAGGTCATTGTATCGACCATGGAACTAACAAAATGATGACTTTAAAACAGACTGTTGATATTCTTGTTTCATCAACTTGTTTGTCAATAACTTACCTCGTTTTAGAAATAGTTCATACGTAGAGTATGCTCTTTCGTATCGAATCAACTGAGAAATATAAACCCCGTATGCAGGTGATATTGTAAGACTTTATAGAAGATACAATTTTTTATACTTGGATATGATTGTTATCTAACCAGTTGTGTATTTTTTTATTCCCCGGCCCTGGAAGATCCTAGATATCTATTTACTTTACTTACTATCGAATTTTCTATCAGAAGTGTAGTCTTTTGAATTTCGTTTGTGACGTGGTCAGTTGCCTCTCTTTGGATTTTATAAGGCGTTAGGACGGAAGATTCCACAGGATACCACAGTACAACCTGGAAACAAAAGAAAAGTAATAGTTTGAATGATTAAAAATAGATCTAGAAAAGCTATGATAAAAATCAATGCAATTTCTAAGACTTTATTCGATGAATAACAAAAGATCATGTTATAATTCAATGCATATTTGATACTAATCAATGAGTGAGTGTACAGTGACCACCGTTGCTGACTTCTGCTCTGCTAACAGTCATTTGTTTAAAGCCGCGCCTTAATAAACGTTAAATGGACCCTGGAACTTACCGAGCGTAACTCAGTGAGTGGGTGTACAGTAACCACCACTGCCGACTTCTGCTCTGGTAACAGACGTATCAGGTCTACAGCTGTGTTCATATAAACGTAAATGTCTCGCAGAACTTACCGAGCGTAACTCAATGAATGGGTGTACAGTGACCACCACTGCTGACTTCTGCTCTACTAACAGACGTATCAGGTCTACAGCTGTGTTCATATAAACGTAAATGTCTCGCAGAACTTACCGAGCGTAACTCAATGAATGGGTGTACAGTGACCACCACTGCTGACTTCTGCTCTACTAACAGACGTATCAGGTCTACAGCTGTGTTCTCCCCAGGATACTGAGCAGCTATCAGGCTATTGTATTCTGTTATTGTCTAGAAACAGATTTCAAGTAGTATATATATATATTGATGTGTTGAACTGGAACTATATCGACTTGTTAAAAAGGAATGTTGACTGATGTGACGTCATATTGCGTAATAATTTACGTTAGCTGTTTTAAAGATAAAAGGCCGGTGTACGCTTCGCAGCTGCATACAAAGAGGAAATTTAGGACACTTTAGAAAGCAGAGGCAGCAAACATGCTAAAGATTTTGTGAAAGCGGCATACATATTTTCGGCGATTATTATTTAATGTCTGTCCTTTCCTGCGAAAAACACATGCGGTGAATTAATTGAAATTTATAAAAAAAATTCATTCTGTAGTTCAGGAGGAAGAGAGAAGTATGTACTCTTACAAATATACGATTTCCATACGATATGGATCGATCGAAGTTATTCGAAGAATCGCACAATATTAACATGATAAATGATTCAAATGACGTTTTCTTTTAAGCGATAGTACAAATATAAATAATCCTGATTGAATACTAAATGTACAATGTTGATTTAAAGTTTTTATTATATGGGTAAAACAAAACAGGTGTTCACAGGGGTCTCGAGCAACAGTCCATCCGTTTGAAAGGTGTGCAAAATGTTGCCCACTGCCTACGTTTGCAAAATGGTCCGGCGAATCAACTATTCCCCAAGACCCCAGTCAACAACTTTAGAATATCTTTTTTTGTATAGGAATACTTTATGATATTGATAAGCACGAAATTAGTACACTAAATGTATAAATATTTCAAAATAATAATTGATTATGCTTAATGAAATATGGAGATAACGAACAGTATTCAAGCATAATAGTCCATTGAAACAATACGAATAGGAAGCAGAGCAAACACGGACCTCTGAAACATCAGAGGTGGGATCAGGTGCCATGGAGGAATAAGCATCCCTTGCCAACCGCTCACACCCGCGGTGTGCTCCTTGTCAAGATCGGTAAATAATGGAAAAATCCGTAGATAATTCAGCGAGCAAATAATGGCCTAACAATTAGTATGAAAAATGTCCGTCAGCATTTGACTTATCTGTTAACAAAGTCATTGTATCGACCATAGAACTTGCGAAATGAAGACTTTAAACGAGACTGTTGATATTCTTTTTTTTTTTATCAACTTGTTTGTCAATGGCATGCCTCGTTTTAGAAATTGTTTTTACGTAGAGCATTGAATCAACTGAGAGACATAAACCCCATAGGCAGGTGATAAGGGTATATTGCTACATAATTAAGGGAAGTTGACGATTGAAAAGTTGAAGTCATCATTAATGCATAGCTTTGTTGTTTATCATGACTGAATTTTCCAAAAAAATTAAATCTTGTATAAATGTTTCTTGACATATTGAAGATGAGTGTGTCCATTCTAATGCCCTTCTGCCTCTGTTACCTATCTGTTTAAGTCTTGTTTTCTTTCCAACTCCTTTTAACCATTTGCCCATATTATTACTACTTTTTGTCTCCCCTGTCTATATCATTTGGATATCTTTTAAGTTATGTCTATTTATTGTTTGATTTACATCCAGCCAAATCTCTAAAATTCATTTTTTTTTCTAGATTAGAAAATATGAATTATCATAATTATGCTTTGTGTTAAATTTACGAATGCAAGACTTACATACTGTATCTACTAATAAAAACAAGAAAACGTACCGCAAAGAAAACAGCATTGTAATAATCATTTCTGTTGAACTCATCTGATGACAGGCGCACTCGAAACTCGTCCACTGCAATTCAAAAAATAAGATAAATAAATAAATAAATGAAAAAAAAGAAAATACACACTAAAGATACTTTTAAGAAATCGTATTGATCTGAGTGAAATACATATTCTTAAAATGTATTTAAAATTTACATGTATCTGTCAAATTAATAACTCAAATCTGTTTTCAAAACAGTATCTTATTTCAAAGAGATGATAATTCTACTGTTAAATGCAACTAAATCAAGTTGTGGGGCAATATTTTGGATAATCTGTAATCATGTTAAATATTACCCGGTAAGACGTTTGGCATCAGATTAAGATTAATGTTCATATGTCCTTTAGCCTTGATGCTTTCGTCATAAATAGGTCTCACCGACATACACTCCTTCAAAGAATGAAAAAATTATTTATCTATTTATTAGATAAATTTGTTTCAATAGTAAAATCTGTGTTCTATAGATTTCATCCAGTCAATTAGAATGTTGTCGTTGAAGGTTTCCATCTCCCTTACGACGTTTTCAGACATGAGTACATAAAGTTGCAAAAAATATGAAACTTTTATATAGTCTACAATACAATAAAACTTACACAGAATTCTTTTCTAAAGATATTTTCCTTTTCTTGTTTTCCTTTCTCCCCTTGCAGTATCTGTGACACATCTTCCTTTCTCAGAAGGTTAACATTTCGATGAAATGATTCTTTCAGTGTGTGGTAAAGTAATACATACTGTTCCTTTTAAGATAACATTTTAAGATAACATCTTTTATATGTAAAAAGATAATAGCAAGAGTTTTAAAGTTATCACTCAATTAAAACTTATGCTCTGTGTTTATGGAAGCGGAAAAGGAGTATTACATGAAGTATTATAATAATAACAATAAAATATTTTAGATTGCATTGCTTATTTTAGTAAAATTTAGTGTTTATATCAAAACTGAGTTATTATCACTCGCTGTATCAGTAGACTTTTAACAAGGATATACCATGTTTTCAACCATATTCATCCGCTGGTTACACATTTCAGTGAGACATTTAGCTACATTGACCACCCCTTCTCTCAGACCGGATCTATGCAGTTTGTCCAGAGCTATAAAGGTACCCGTCCTGCCGGCCCCTTCACTGTGAGTAGAAAAGGGCTTTGTTTGTTAAGTTTTCATGACATTTACTTGTAAGACGATGTTTTCATAGAGCCTACCCTTATTACCTATTCAATGACCAAAAAAAAAAAAGAATCTTTAAAAATGGCCAAAATCTGCCTCCACTTTACACTAGACAAAATTGCTAACGCACCAACCAGTACTTTCATCTGCATATGCGACATCTGCCTCGTCGACACAAGTAAGTCTAAATTATCGTCTTGCTTACTGCAGTCTAATTTCCCGATGTCTTTATTTCAACAAAACACCCACAAAGAGACCCTCTTGCGCGCGAACTAATTTCTCGAAGCGGATTGTGCACCTTTTGTATGCTGATAAAAGGCTGGATGTTACCGATATTTATCAGAGAGATTTCAACAGAGATGGTGATCCTTCTCTCAAACTATATCAAGCAAAACGTCTAATATGTCGCGTAGTAATCATTCAGTGCTTTAATTGGCATCTGTACCCAGCTCATCATATTTCCGTTTACCACAGTTTACAGTACAATCTTGCAATAGCCGTATGGTGTCTGTTGAATGTCGTGTTTGATGTAGTATTTACCATGTTTACAGATGACATTTTTATATTTTCTATTCCTTAGTTTAATTAAAGTACTTTTCAACCAATAAAATCAACAATTTAAATGTTTAATTTGTAACCACAAGCATCTCCAAAGGAATACCTTGCAGACACCATACCAACTGCCCTACCACGCTCTTCTATGGTCAAACGCTGCATTCCCAGTAAGGTTTTTGATTGTTTTGGTTTGTTTGTTTAACGAGAATTTTTCACTCATATTGATACACCTCCACTTGGCGGTGGAGGGCTACAAACTTAGACCTGTATTCGCACTTACGGCCTTTGAGCAGTGAGGGATCTTATTCGTGTCAGCAAGAACTGCGGCAAGGGACCTGGGTTAATACAATCTCATTTGCATGACCTGGGTCTTCGTCACACACTGGATTCGTATCCGCGAAATAAGGATCAACTCCTTACTCCGTGATTCTTGAGCAAACACTCTAACCACTGTGACATGCGGGCGACTTTTCTGAGTTTTAATTAAAGGCAAACATACGGAATAGTTTCAAAAAAATTTACACGTGTATTCCTAACCGTTGAGATGATTTTCACGCATTTTCTAAGAAATGGTTACACTTCGTTATCTTTTAGCTATTTACCTGTATGTGCATTTAATCTTCTTACTTTCAAACAAAGTTACATATTCATATATAAGAATTAAGATACGTCTTAAACAACTTTTGAAAAAGTAAAAAAATAATTTTCTATGATGGTGCGTTAGCAACTTGTCTAGTGCATGTCAGTAATAAAATATCTGTTCATATTTCAATGTTCATAATAAGGGCTCATCATTATGCATGTGTTTCAAAGACAGGTATAGACCGATAATAAGATATCATTTTGTATAATGTTTGCTATAGACATGAATTAAACCAACCTTTTAAGTCAAGTTTAACTGTTTTTGTGCTTATGCTGTATTCAATTTACCTTTTTGCATATTATAAACTATGTCTTCCTAAGTCTCAATGCTCAAATTATCCACCCCATAGGTTGTTAACAAAACCATCAAAATGTTTAATAGTAAAACCCCTTACTATTGCTTTAACAGATCATGGGGAGGAATTTGAATAAAATGACTTGAAATTCGATGCTAAGATTTCAAATGGACTAATTATTATCTTCAAGCACTTGAAAAGACATACCAGTTTGTAGGAATCAAGAGGTTGATTGTAACGTAATCCTTTATGTCATAACTTGTTAATTTAATATCATTTATCTCTGTCATTACATTGTTAGTTTATCATATATGTCAATACATAGTTATTTTATCATTTGTGTCATTACATTGTGATCTTATTTAGGTCATTACTTTGTTACGTTATCATAAATGTTCATTGCAAAGTATTTAATTTTTACAATTAGGAATAATTTTGTGAAGATTTTTTACCATATTTTTTTTTAATTTCTACAGTTCCCTAAAAACCAGAAACTTTGCATACTGATCGGTTATATCGTTAAGGCATAAGAGCACACAACTTAAGAAATTGTATCACCTGCAGTGGACAAGTAAAGTTGACTTAGATTGAGCATCATGACAACGCTTTACACTTCTGTAAAACTGAACCAGCTCTGAGGGATACGGAACCTCACTGTCTGTCCATTTAGTGAATTGAAAATGAAAGAGCAATCTACTGGATTTTGTCTGAAAAGAAAGACACACTTACAAGTAATTTTTCATCAAAATGAACGACATATACCTCATGCATACTTAATGTATAGTAACTTAAAATTTCCGTGGTATGTTCACTGTTTGAACACATGCATATTAGTCTTAATGAATCATTTGTTATCAAATTATCGATAAGAAGGAATGAAGAATATTAAATTCACCATCCGGCTTAATTTCATTGAACGTCAAGCATTAATTTGAATCATATTTTTCTCAATATTGCTACTGATTTTAATTAACGAGCTGTTTATATTTATACAAGTGCATTTGTACATTTAACCACGTGTTTAAAAATCTATTGAAGAGGTAAATATTTCTTTGCTCAACATTCAGTCTGAAGAATTTTTACAAGAGTTATATTAAGTCTTTTATAATCATAGAAATAAGATTTTAAGGAACTGTATATTTAATTTTTTAATTGAAAATTAAAAATTAAAATATATACATGTACAAATCGATACAAAAAATGCACAATCTTTTGAAATATTAACCTTACCTCCTTATGAACAAGCTTTATCTTCCTTAAGGTATAAAATGCATAGACCTTTTCCTGCATGACTCCTATCGATAGTGGCCCCACAGCAATAGTCTTACGTTTACTGGGCCAATACCTATAGCACTTCTCCTGTAAAAGAAATCAATTATTGCATTCACATTTCAGTCTATTTGACTATGTTCTTCATTGTGGAAATTCAAGGTAACTACTTTCTCCAAATGAAAGCTCTAATTGCATAGTTTTTATCTTGTTTTAATTAGAAGTTTTTTTTTTTTTTCAAAATTCCGATTTTTATTGAGAAGTTTAAAATATAACATTTCGTGGAGGACATAAATACGTGGGTCTCTTCTACACGAAGTAGGGCGCCCGCTTCGTGATGGGGAGGCCCGAGTTCGATTCTTTTAGTCAAACCTAAGACGTAAACATATAGATAGTGACTGTTCCTTCGCCCAGAGCTCGGCACTAGAAGAGAAAGTCACGAGTCTTTCGGATGAGACGCGTACGGTAGGCGTTGGCACGATAAAGAACCCCCACTGCTCAATGGCCCTGAGTGCCGAGTAAAGGTCTAAATTTGAAGCCCTTCACCGGCATACGGTGACTTCTCTATGTGAGTGAAAAATTCTCGAATGGGACGTTAAACAATATAAAATCAATCAATCACACCACGAAATCAAGGAAAATTAACCTCATGAAATTTAACGATTTTCCATTATGACCCCTGGTCATTTTCATGACACACCCTCAAGTCAGTAACGAATCAGTGAAGCTTGAATTCATTAAAATCAAGAGTTCCTGACTTTTTGGTCACATTTTAATATCCTAGTGATATATGTATCAGTCTTTGAGATATGACTTTGCTTCAAAATCAACACATATGTTCGATGTTCTTTTAAACAGTAAAGGTTTTGTTGATAACAAGTCGCGGTTTTCATGTTTTAAACATATACCGAAATATAAATGTTACCAAGATAACGTTGGTTAGAGAGTCAGTGAGGGTTGTTAGGAAAAAAGATATACTTTGATGTCCTTCGTGTCAGATCAGAGAGTATTGTTAGAATACAAGACATACTTTATTTCCTCTGTGTCATTTCAGAGAGTTAATATTATGATGAAATACATGACATACTTTTTACAGAGATCAGAGAGGGTTATCGCAATACAAGACATACCTTCACAGAAATCAGAAAGGGGTATTATAATGCACAGAGATCAGAGAGGGTTATTACAATACATGACATACTTTGCCAAAAGATCAGAGAGGGTTATTGCAATACATGACATACTTTTGCACAGAGATAAAGAGGGTTATTACAATACATGTCATACTTTTGCACAGAGATCAGAGAGGGTTATTGCAGTACATGACATACTTTTGCACGGAGATCAGAGAGGGTTATTACAATATATGACATACTTTGCACAGAGATCAGAGAGGGTTATTGCAGTACATGGCATACTTTTGCACAGAGATCAAAGAGGGTTATTACAATACATGACATACTTTTGCACAGAGATCAGAGAGGGTTATTACAATACATGACATAATTTGCACAGAGATCAGAGAGGGTTATTGCAGTACATGGCATACTTTTGCACGGAGATCAAAGAGGGTTATTACAATACATGACATACTTTTGCACAGAGATCAGAGAGGGTTTTTACAATACATGACATACTTTGCTGTCTTCTGTGAGGTTTGTCAGCATAACAACAACAGAGATCCGCTCCTGCCATATCATTGTCCAGTGATCCATCACAGTGTCTTCAACAGGACCTACATTAGAGGATGAAAAGATTAAGAATAATTGCATATTAATTAAATATATGCATGTCTCTGCTATTTTTGACTTTAAGTTTCTTAAGGCTCTTTGACAATGTACAAGCATTACCAAGATCTTTATTTTTCCAAAAATTCAAGTTTGTTTTAATGTTGTATATTAAAACAGTTCTTTTTAAATTTCCTCCTTTTTTCGGGATTAAATTTTGCCTACATTTTGAATTTGGAAAACAGTTTTTAGAATGTTTCCCCTTTTTCCTTTCAGAATCATTTAACAGGTATTTCAACTTAACAGTGTCCAAAGTCTCTTTTTGGAAACCTTCAATACTTCATCCTCACAATGTCAAGGTTTTGTGATTTCGGAACTCCACACAAACCCTTGACATAAGTCGCTATTTAAAAGTCGGGCTCTGTAGTCCGTAATTCATTCGTTCCAAGTCTCAAACTGGAGCCAATCGGAATGTGGTTCTCATTCTGAGCAGAAACAACGTAAACAAAAATGGCTGCACCCATGTGGATCCTAGACAATGTCAAACTCTCCACCTTCTAGTCGTATTTGTAATGATAATAACTTAAACAAATATCGTCGATTAATTTTTGAAAAATCATTTACCGTTTTTGAACAATTTTATGAGGTTTTAGGCTTTTTTCCACGTGAAAACGACGGATTGTTACATGTGCTTTAACAAACTAAACAAACTTTCCAAGATTAACTTCGAGTTGAAACATAAGGTAGATCATTTGAGAAAAGAAAAGACTGATATTCTAAAAAAAATCTACGATCACACAGAAATACAGTAAATACTGATGTTCTTACTGTCACTATTAACACTCCATTGAAACCAGCAGAAGCTCGTGATCGGTCAGAAATGGAACATGTAGTTTCAAATATACCATGTATACAGACCCCTAAAAGATCTCTCACCCCGAAGCGGATGATTTTACACTCACCAACACCAAGAAAAGCTAGAAAATGTTTGCTGAGGATCAGTTCTCAATCTTGGACTTGTAAACCTCCTTCAAGCACCAAGAAGAGACTTTGTAATTTGTCTCCAGGAAAAGCCAAGGTATTTCTTTTCTATTTTAATACATTGAATTTTGGACTAAAAAAATGAAAATAAATGTATGTTTTTTTTTCATATTTCAATACCATCCCTAATCTGAAATGTCTTACACTGTGTATCTTATAACTACTTATTGCGTATGTCCATTTAATTTATACGTGTATGTGCAGATTAAGGAGGATAGGGGGGCATGAGGATTTGGACCTCCCCTGGGGTCTTCTGAGTTTTTGAATTTACATGAAGTTAGATAAAATGGTCTTGCCCCTCACTCTACCCCAAAGCACGATTTTGGTTATTCAGGTGTGGAGTTCCAAAATCACAAAACCTTGACATTGTGATGATATCAATACTTAGGAAAACCTGTTTAATAATGTACCTTGCGAGGCTATGCATTTGTATTCATCCTCTGCCTGCCAGAATAAAAAGCATATTAAACTATTAAGTTAGAAAACCTGGAAAATGCATTGCAAACTTTTGACTTGCATAATTTCACAACTTGCAAAATAGGGGAGACTTCAACGATACTTTTAGATAACTAATTGAAAAATAATATATTTAGATACAAAATCTTCAAAATCGGATCGTGCTTATCCATCTTGGGAAAAATAAATCTTTTCCGTTACCGAAATGTAATTTGCGTTTATGTAGTCCGACTTCTTCTTTTCCAACTTCACTCTTGAATGATCATCTAAAATGAATAAGTTTTGTATTATACTAATTTATTACTTAATTGATTATAAATTCCTGCACTGTTTTTTTTAATCTTTGGGGACCTTTTACACACTGATTTATTTTTTTGTTTTAAATCTGAGAAAATGATATCATATAAAGATAAAGATATCTATTTCATTTTCAACAAGGGGTACCAGTCATTCTCCCTCTGGAAAATTTTCAAATACAACAAGGTATTGATTAAGGAGGGATTTTTTTCATATTTATTACATATAAAAATTCATGAAATTCTCACACAATTAAGAAGACAATATCACTAAGTGATTGTATAATTTCAATTTAAATTGACTACCTATCTTGAGTAAGAGCCGTCACGGTAGCTCAGTCAGTAGAGCGCTCGCTCCGTGATCGGAAGGTCGTTTGACGACGACTGACTTAAGTCGACAAAAGATAGGTAGAAACTGTTCCTTCGCCAAGCGCTCGGCACTTTGAAGCGAAAATCACGGGTCCTTCGGATGAGACCTTGGAAACCGAGGGCCCGTGTCATGGTAGCCGTTGGCACGATAACGAACCCTCACTGTTTAATGGCCCTGAGTGCCGAGTAAAGGTCTAAATTTGATGCCCTTTACCGTTATATGGTGACGTCTCTATATAAGTGAAAAATTCTCGAATGGAACGTAAAACAACATACAATCAATCAATCAATCTTAAGTAATAAGAACGGGTCAAGGTCATCATATTCTTCGAAATTAAGGATTAAAATAACACTTCCAAACTGAGATAAATAATTTTACAAAAAGATACTTGTTAACCGGAATTTCCTCTAATTTTTGCTATTTTGATTATGGGAAAACACATGCAAACAAATTATTCAATTACTTTTAAATTTGGTGGAATATAATGTTAAAACACTTAAAGTGATTATTGACTGATTGATTGTATGCTGTTTAACGTCCCTTTTGAGAATTTTTCACTCATATAGAGACGTTACTGTATGCCGGTGAAAGGCTTGAAATTTAGACGCCTAGCGTGACACGGGATCTCGGTTTTTAAGGTCTCATCCGAAAGACCGGATTTTTCTTACTGCATAAAAGCTCGTGGAATTGGAACTCTTCATTGTGCAGAGTGTATAAGGTAATTTTGGGAATCTAATAAATTAATGTACATTTGGTAACGGGAGGACTTTGACATTTTTTAACATTTAGTATACGTACACGCTATTGTGACATTACTTCTGTTTTTGGACATGTTTCTATAAAGTTTGGCGACTGTGCATGGTATGTGACACTGTTCTCCAACAGGAATTGTCTAAAAAGACATTCATTTAAATACATCTGTTATCTTTTTATTGTCAAAGACTATATATGTAATTGCCAAATTAGCTTGTATTATCTGTATTTATCCATTAATCTTTCGGACAATAAATGTTTACGTATTATCCGTTTTCATCCATTTTTCTGTTGGATTATCCTTACCTGGAATTCCGCCACCAGTTCCTCGTACCCATTTATCTTATCGTACCTCAGTAGATCCGCCAATCCATTGACCTCCACCTCCTTTGTAACTATATGAACCTGGTTGTTTATGGCGGACATCGTCTGACGTGAATTTCTCATCATATTCTCCGTGTCAGAAGGCACTAAGGAAAAAATTACAGAAAAGTTTAATTCTTCTTTTTGCAGGGGAGAGATGTAACAAAGAATGTAAATTAAGCCACTGAAATAATGTTCACTGGTGAGCACAAATGAGCAAAAACCTTAAATAAGTGTAATTATACTACGACAATGTAATGCTTTTCTTTTTCAGCCCTATGCCATAGGAAATTGTAAAGTATAAAACTGTAATGTAACTTATCAACCGGGTGCATGTGTGACGTGTAACCGAGCGGATGTTACGAAAATAATCAAAACTATTTACAAAAATATTATTCCTAATTTAGACTGAGCGACTTGCTCAAAAAGTGATTCGTGGGAAAGCTCAGATATCTTCCGAGAATGTAACAAAAAGGAATTAATATATACAAAAAGTTTGGGACGGGGGGGTAATAATTTAATCTTAAGTTATACTTAATTAAATGCATTATAGGGAAGGAAAGACTTGTTCAGTCATGTTTAATCCCTGTCTCACCTTATTCTAAGTTATCTTCAGCAGCTCGACTTCTGACTCCACTAACTGTGCTACGTACGGTGTTACTGCACTGAGAAGAGAGCGCTTTTATACCTTTTCTAGTTAGTATCATTGATTCTCATTGGTTAGTGATTTTATGTAATCTTTCTACTAGAGATTTTTAATCACTAATTAGTATCATCTGTGAATATCACATTACCCACGCCTCATTTTCCATGTGTTCCACATGATAATAAAAAAAATATTTTTTTTACCATTTGATGTTAAAAATTAACTATTTACATGTATTAATCGTACATTGCTAAAAAATTGCCATCTAAAATTTTAAACAAAATACTTCCTAGTCTAATTTATAAAATTAAACAATGTTTCATGTGAGCTCAACTGTCTATCTCAGAAGATTTGTCTCTTGCTCATTATTCAAATTCTTCTATCATCTCAACTCTTTCTATGTCCTTATCTCCCTCTTTCCTCTTAGCTGTGGTCCATACAACTTTTCTCTTGGAGAAGGACGTCTGTACACCAACGTGTACCCTTTCATGGACTTGTGGAGGCTCCCTGTTGGCATTACCTCAATGTCTGGACTCCAAGTTTGAAAACTTTCTCTGCCATATGATATGGTTTGGGAACCTTTGGTTTTGGCACAAATTGTCTTACCGGCTTTACAGTTAGTTTTCTGGAACTTCTCATCTTCACCTTTTCTCTTTGGAACGGTTTCGTTGGGTTTCTCACTACTCTTCCAACTTCTCACTCTTTTTGCATTACAGCTGTGGATCTTTGAGCTTCTTCGTGTACCACTCCTGGTTCTTTGAAAGTCTCATTCTCATTCTTCTCTGGCGTATCTTCACCATCAGAGTCATCTGAAGTAACTCGCTTCTTCCCGAGTCTTCTGACATGGTTCCAATGATCTCATGTACATCATTAGGATCCGACATCTTGGCATCACCTGATCAATCGTGGACATTGTTCTCCTGAACACGTCTCTTTCTATGCCGTATTAGATTAGCATTCTTATTTGATGCATAGTTACACCAATCACATCAAAATCTCTTTGCTAGCTGTTTCAAACCACAGTGTCTTTCTTCAGCACTTTAAGGTCCAGTGTCTTGAATAGGCACATTGGACACTTCTGCTTAGCAGCCAAACTCGTACAAATCCTCCAGTACAGGAGTGAACCTTAAAGTTTCCAATTGTGTGGAATTTGTATCATACAAATCTTTCATGACCTGCTCAATTGGGCTCTGAATGGCAACTACTGTGCCCTTGTGTGAAACTTTTACATCCGATCGACGTCATGTTCATGGTTCTAATACGAAAACCATTTCCTACATTAGCAAGCACTTTGCCTTTTTAACCTCTATCCGATCTGATGAATGTTTAATCTGGCTTAATCAGTCTGATTCCTCGAGTTGTTGTTTCCTTTTCATTGAGATAAATATCACCAGTAATTATTTTTCCTAGGTAGGATACTCAGAGTATTAGCTTATGCAATCTTATACCAGCCAACAACACCAGATGAAATCAATAGAACTTCATTTCTTCCGAGCTGTATTCTTCTGTTTGTCATGTCTATTGTACAGTTATTTTCAATCATGAAACCCAGTCCCAATGCACCGTCAACTGACAGTTTTGCCTCACTTATTTATGACTAAGTTTACTTTAATTAAAAGTTTTACTTAATTAAAAGATAGGGAAGGGAAGACTTGTTCAGTCACGTCTAATCCCTGTCTCACTCTAAGTTTTCTTCAGCTTGACTTCTGGCTCCTCTAACTGTGCTGCTACTACTGACTGTGTGTTACTGCACTGAGAAAAACAGCGCTTTTATACCTTTTCTAATTAGTATCCTTGATTCTCACCGGTTAGTGAGTGTATGTAATCTTCTTTCTACTACAGAGTTCCTAATCACAAATTAAAATTATCTTTGATCATCACACACGCAACTCTACATTTCAAATCAAGGCGTCTTTGTGAAACACTGATGTCCCCGTATGTCAGCTCATGACCAAGGTTTAGGTCATGTCATGATGTTAAAAATATTGATACTCAACGAAAGGTCTTGTTACAAGGAATAACCATGAGAAATTCGAAAGCTCTAGCATCAACCATTTAGAAGTTATAATGGCAAATGTCATAATGTTTCAAAGTAGCCACACTCTAAGGTCAAGTTCATTAGTTGAAATATGGTGAAACCAAAGAAAGGTCGTTTCACAAAATATGTACGTGAAATATAAAAGCTCTGGCACCAACCGTTCAGAAACCATGGGCGCGGCATGGTTAAAACTTTAATAAAGTAGATTAAACTCAAAGGTTAAGGTGAAGAGATAAAAAAGAAAAGCCTTTTCACAAGGAATACACAACTGAAGTATGAAATCCCTAGCACCAACCATTCAAACATTATGGTCAAGGTTAAAGTGTTTGCGGATAAACACACAAACCGAAAGATGCAAGGACAGACCAAAAACTATGTCAAAATACAGTAAGAGGACATAAATCTTATACATGTACATCCATTATAGTATTTTATTTTTTAATCAGATTTTCTTTTTTTTTCAGTATAGAAACTTACAAAATATAGAACCCCTTATATTTAGGGTAGGTCTTCTCAGGAATTTTTTTCTTACTAATTTTCCTCCATGCTGACCAATGTATTTAGATCTGAAAAACAAACAAATAATAAATCAACAAAACAAGACAAAAAAAATGAATATTAAATGAATGTCCTGAAAAACCTATGTCGTCAAAGTTTCAAGTGTATTTTTTTTTCAAGCTTCGCGTAGTTAAGCCTTCCAAAAATTCTTAATACATTCCCTAAGGAAAGTGACTGGAAAAAGAGGACAAATAACTGTTCCCCTCTGAAAATGAGGACATGTTTGTTACCGTAGGTACAGGGTTGTCGGAACAAAGATGACAATCGCAACCACCACCACACCGGAAATAAGAAATACGAGCTCAGCGGCGCTAAGTGCAAAAGATTCAGGAGCTGAAATTAAAAAAAAAGAGAAATTTTAACAATTTCACATTTAATCACAGAAATAGATTTAAAATGATTATTTGAAATTAGATTTTATTTGATTGTAAAAGGAAAGCTGTATCGATCTGATTGAAATAAGTTTCTTTTGAACCATCCTCTCACACTGATCGCTACCCAAACTCCGGGTGATCTTTCAAACATTATTCATTAAAATTTTAACTAATTAATGAACTCGTACTTTATATTATCAATATTCGGGTTGAAAGTTGCATTTATAGAAAAGGATCCTGGAGTTAGTACAAACAAGAGCTGTGGTAAATATTCATTGCATTGTTGCCAAGAAATTAAAAGACTGAGTGACTTTTCCCCCTTTCGTATATATCTTCGGGACTTAAGTACGTACGTCTTAACTGATCATGGATTCTGCAAAACTGGCAGACTCTTGTCGGCAAACGGTTGATTGGATAATTGAAAGGTCACCAGGCGAGATAACTCAAAATGATGTTTCCTCAGATCCTTGGGTAGCGATCTATGCGAGCGAATCAATGAAATTTGTACATGTATATAGTTTGCAAAAAGACATTTACTTTTTCCCGTGCACATCGGTCCCGTGTAACCTTGGGTACATCCTTTGTCGCATAAGCCGGTTGTAGAATTACAGGTGGCGTTGTTCCAACAGTTTCCGCTACACCAAAGGAAACATCCCGTGCCGTAAAATCCATGAGGACAAGCTGAAATTAAGCTTTTCCCCCTTTAATTACGGTGTTTCAATTCATAACTGAAATGAAGTACGAAAATTCATTTTTTTTTTCTACGCCCTGCAACGGCCATTGCAGACAGTCGAAGGTGGACGGCCGCTGGTGTACGGCATGACCAAGCCGTTATATTTTTATATCTTCTCCTCGCGGGAAGATTGTACAATGCGAAGGACTATACTGTACTATATATATACTACAGGAAGTGTATGTGTTGTTGCGTCATTGATGAAATGTGCAGTTTTTTTTAATCAAGGGTTGGTGCCCAGCTTTTGTCTTTTTCGACAATTTAGCTATGTAGTATGGTGGCATATTTCTGCCCCTTGTGTGCAAGTTATTTTTCTGTCAAATATGTCGACATGCAAGATAGTTATGTCATCATGCAATATAACTATGTTGACATGCAAGAAAATTGCAATCAAATAAGAATTATAAAAAATCTTTAAAATATCTCAAAAATTGCCCACATGTGACTTCCAATATGCTAGATGCTACTTATTTATGTCGACATGCAAGTTATTTATGTCGACATGCGAAATAAATATGTTGGCATGCAAGTTATTTATGTCAACATGCAACTTACGTGTGTTAACATGCTACTTATTTATGTCAGCATGCAACTTATTTATGTCAACATGCAACTTAGTTAAGTCAACAAGCAATTTGTTTATGTCAACATGCAACTTAGTTATGTTGACATGCGAGATAAATATGTTGACATGCAACTTAGTTAAGTTGAATAGCGGATATATATATAATTTTAAAAAAGTAAATATCCAAAAATGAAATCACAGATCGATGTAAATGTAAATGTCTGAAGACCTAGGAATTGCGAAAAAGTTTACAGTGAATATGATCGATTTTTTATTTCATTTTGGATATATACTTTTTTTTTAAAATATGATCGATTTTCAAAATGATAAGATTTTGAATTATATGATTAAATTTAAATGCAAAAGAAATTATGTGATACATAATTTGAACATTTGTGCGAGCGTGCAGATTCGTTACTACCCAAGACATGTGCAATGAGGCACGGTTCTGTTTTTTTTTTTTTTTTTCTGTCGGTAAAATTGAAGTTGATTTTAATGATCGAAAATTTATTTAAGCAAATGTTGCAGTTTAAATTATTTTCTATAATATGACGTGGCCAACATAGTATAAATTGGATTTCCTTAGATAAAATGTCCTGGCGATTCAGAAACGTGACCGTAGATTATAAAACGTTTTTAGGACCCCTCTCTGCGGGCTACCTATAGTTATTAATGTGTCCGTCCGTCCATCTGTTCGTCCGAGGTCTAAGGTTAAGGTCATAGCAGAACTGTATCTAAAAAATGCATGTAAACATAAATAAGTTGCATGTCGACATAAATATGTTGCATGTCAACATATTTATCTCGCATGTCAACATAACCAAGTTGCATGTCGACATAAATAAGTTGCATATCAACATATTTATCTCGCATGTTAACATAAATAAGTAGCATCTAGCATGTTGGATGTCACATGTCGACATAAATAAGTTGCATATCAACATATTTATCTCGCATGTAAACATAAATAAGTAGCATCTAGCATGTTGGATGTCACATGTAGGCGATATTTGAGATTTTTGAAGATTTTTTTTATAATTTTATTTGATTGCAATTTTCTTGCATGTCAACATAGTTATGTTGCATGTTGACATAACTATCTTGCATGTCAACATATTCATCTTGCATGTCGACATATTTGACAGAAAAATAACTTGCACACAAGGGGCAGAAATATGCGACCATAATGTAGTAATATCTAGGAAAAAAATAACTTCATTTGGATACATAATTACTGTTTTTAAAGCAATCAAAACTTATTGCAACTTACATAAAGAAAAAAATCAAAATATGTGGTTGTACTCTATTAGATAAAAATTCCGTGAATAAAATGGAAACAAGAAGTATTCTACCGTCCCCAACTCACCCCAGGCCCGTAAAACGCGAGGGAGGGGGGCCCTACTTTTTTCTGAGTATAATATTTTGGTATAGTAAATTTTCCTTTAGATGCTGGTCCCCCCCCCCTTTTTTTTTGATTTTGTAAGGTCGAGCACCGGTAAATTCCGGGATTTGGAGGACAGTTAAATAGCTTTTGTTAAAAAAAATTTTTAATTATTCATGTTTAATTTTTTTTTTTTCGTTTGCTTGTCAGATAATTTTGGGAAGTTGCCCCCCCCCCCCCAGCCCCCTCCCCCCACTTTTGGTCAGTCTGGTTTTCATTTTTTATTTATCTTTTTTTTTTTTTTTTTTTTTTTTTTTTTTTTTTTGACTTGTCAGATTTTTTGGGAAGTCCCCCCCCCCCCCTTTTAACTTTTGAAACCGTTGCTACAGGCCTGCACTTTTTTAAATTCTGCATTACTTACAGTTACAAGCAACAGTATAAAAGTACATGTGTATGCACTGATAAAAAATATAAAAGGCAAGTAAACTCATAAAAAGTCGACCTTCAATTTTTCAGTTTTTCAAAATTAGGTCAAACTCCAAGGTCAAGGTGAAAAGGACAAAGTTGTTGGTATCCAAAGAACGGTGGCATTAAAATCCTGGTTTTAAACAAGTCAAATGAACTTGGTTTTGACTTCGAAGCTGCAACAGATTACAGTGTCAAGGAGTGTAATATTACAAATTAATCGCAGCCCCCCTTAATGAAAAACATATAATTCTAATATGATAATAAATTCTCTACGAAATACTTTGTTTTACAATTTATGCTTTGTTATGCCATCTCTGTTCCGTGCTGTTAGAATTAAAACCCAGCGCTGAGTATGAATATTAGAATATCATAATCTTACCTTCTACCGACTTCCAGTAGTTGAATGACAATAGGAAGACAATACAGAGGAACCAAATTATTCTCAAATTTCCATTCGTAGGCATTCTGAACAAAAACAATATAAGAACTAATGCATATATCTTCATGAGAGAGTAGCCTCTTATGTATTAAAGACATTTTTTTTTACAAAAATCCTACCAACAAAAAGACACATTTAATCCTTTATACAGGAATACTTATTAAAGAATGTTAAAAATGCTTGAATCAAAAATAAAACAATACCTTTTTCATCCGTGCACTTCAATATTGAAAAATTCTTCCCGGTAACGTAAATATGACGTCATGATACACAATTAAAATACGTCATACATTTACCACGTGCTCGGAAGCAATAAATATGGTCAAAAAGTTATATATAGACCTACAGTCGTAGTTTTAATTAATATATGTATCTTAGTCTTGCACGACTTTGTAGAATATCATAGCTTCGAAATTACAAATGTTTGAAAAGCTTTATAAGTTTACGCCCATCATCATATTCGAGAAATCCTGATTTTTTATCCCAATGACGGCATAACATTTTAAACACCAGCTGCATATTATTATTTACTTTGGGTATTTTTCGTTTAAGTTGAAGTTGGAATATTCCTTTGAACATACAGGAAAGTCTAGCTACTTTCAACAATGCTTTCTTACATTATACTAACTGTATAACTTACCATGGATCTACAAGTAGCATAGCACTGCCGTACACTCTAATAATTGATTGAGGACAAACCATGGTCCTTATGTACAACACTGTAGAACTTCCAGTCAAAAGCTTGTATGAAATAAATCTCCAACAGATAATCACATGTTTTTAAAAGATTTCAATATTTCATATTCTGTACAGTCATGATCTACAAATAACTTTCTTTAGACATGTCAACGTCACAGTGCGACGTCAAAGTTTGTTAAAAAGGAACATCGTATGAGATAAATAGAACATCTATAATTGTGTGATTTGATATTTGAAATTCACTCGGCAAGCCTCGCAAACATTCACCATTCAACTCGTTGGATAAAACAAGTATCAAAACACACAATATAGGTATCCTCTATTAATTTTATTTTCTATTTTATCAACATATTATTTATTTATATATTTATTTTAATTTTTTTTTCTATTCAATAATCTTCGTCATTTTTTTTCGAATGTGCATGGACCCCATTGAAAAAAATTCCCGGATCCTTGCATGAGTATTACGTGTATGCGAAAACAGAAAAAATCTGACTTGCTCAATTTTTTTCTTTCCGGTTTCAGAACACAAAGAGTTTTAACTAGCTACCAAAAATGCATTGATGGAAAAAAAAAAATCATATACAAGTACATGGACAAAGTTTAGGTCAGTATTGCATAATATTCAAGAGAAGAAAATAACATTTATTTTCAGATCTCACATAAATATATAAAAGCCCTCCGTTAACAACACGTCTATATAGCTGTAAATCTTTTGTTGATGAATCGTCTTGTGACCGGGAAGGGGGGGGGTGTCTTACAAAATGAAGCGTATTCCTTCTAAAGGAATTGATCGGCAAGTATAAACCTCTCGCCTCTTCTAAAGTATTGTAAGATTTCGCATAGAAGAATTAAAATACTCAAAAGTCTGTATCAACACGACCGAATTAACATTTCCTGTTACGTTTGACTTGAATAACATTTTATTAATGTCTCTGCCGTAAAATTCATGTACGGATTTTTTCCCAAACAATTGTTATTCAATTATTTTTTAACAAAATTTAATGCCGCTAGCACTGCTTCTTTGCCACTTAATCCAGTGGCTGCCGCTAGGAAACAAAAGTTCGTTTGGGAATTGTCCCTGAGATTCCTTCGTTGATTTTTCCTGGGAAAGGGGGGGGGGGTCGTTATCTGATATCAGGACCCAATCAATAAATAAACAGAAATTTATTTCACACAGCATAAAACATATATAAATATACATCACAAAGAAATTATTTTGATTTTTTTCTTAGCGATTGAAATACATTAATGATACGAAAAAATAACAGACACCTCCGTTTTCCGTCAAGTACTGATAATTTTAGTAATTTACATTTGCCGGAAACCTCAGTCAACTACGACGGACCGAAGCCGATCAAAAAAGTATGGATGAAGACCACCATTTAAGGCAATTTTCAGGTACCACTAGCTTGTGTAACCATCCATATCTGCAAATCTCTTCCACACTGCAAATCTCTTGCATTTCTAAAGATCAATTTGGTGTCCCGATAGGGCCGTTTGCGAAAGTGTATAACAGCGCATTAGTTACAACGCGATAGCATAGCGCGAACTTCAAACATTGTAGTGTGTTAGCGCGACGGTGTGTTGTGTAAAGTTGCGTTAGCGTGACGGCGTGTTTTCTGTTAGCGCGACGGTATGTTGTGAACAACACGCTAGCTTGTTATCACTTTGCGCTAGTGCGTTGTTCCTAACGCGCTGTTACACTTTTGCAAATGGTCCTATTGGGACACCATAGAACAGGATGTACTACAGAGTGTAGATGACCTCTCATTCAACACCTGTGTAACCTATCCAGAGAATTTAAGAGAGAAATAACGTGATTTTGCTTGTTGGTGTGTATTAATGGATTTTAAAGAGATACATGTAAAATTAAGCTAAACATTGTCTCTAGTCAGTACACGTATAGGTACATGTAGCTATAGGCCATCAACCTTTTAGGTTATCTTTTGATCCGGGCGCATCTATTGCACTTGACTAGTTATTCGAGCTTAAGATAACGAACAGTGATCGATCTCAAAAAATATTTTACAAACAATACTAATCTGTAAAGAAGACATAAAACACGGACCCCAGGAAATTCCAGGTGTGGGATCGGGTGCCTAAATGGAAGAAGTATCCCCTGTTGACCGGTCATATTCGCCGTGAGCCCTATGTATTGATCAGATAGAGGGAACATTCCGTAGTCAAATTTAGTATAAAAACAAAGGCCTAACGATTGGTATAAAACACGTGAGCCAAAATATGACCCAATGATAGGTTATATTTGATCATTTTATCGACCATAGAATTTATGAAATGCTGACTTTAAATTGTTGAAATCCCTGTAACATTAACTTACATGTATCTATGACACAGTCACGTTAAGTAATATCAGCCTTGACTCACTAAAGGGCAGCCATGCTCAGGTGATAGGAGAATTATTAAGATTGTCTGTGGGACATTACGACATATACCCTAGAAAACGCTCATTATCTTTCACCTTAAAGTTTAGTTTTAAGTTCATTGCTCCCATGTCAAGCCAACCAAACACCAACGAAAATACTGAAAAACTTGTTTTATTAAAGGGAGATGAATCCGACGAAAACATTAATCATCACTCAAAGAAATCAAAGACAATACTTTCTACAAAAACGTCGAAACACAAAGCACGCATTTCTTGGCTTTTTATTTTCTATTTTTGTTGTGTTAAACTTTATTTACGGAGTACGTTTACTATTTAGTCCAAACTATAGTGAAGTTCTCAGAGAGTACACTTGGAGCAGGACTAAGAGAGATTCCAACTCTTCTACCAGATACCAGTGGACTGCAGGCAATGGTGAGTTTGTCACTTTTAACAGGCATTATCCATTGCTTTCTAAAATTGAGTATAATTCTTTCATTAAATAATTCAGATTATTTTAAAATCTTGATCAGTAATGTCTCCACAGGCTTAGGGTAGCGCATAAAACGCAGTCATACAATTAAGATGAAACTGTACCATTCATTTTAATGAAAGGTGACTGAATGGCAGAGCTCTACCATCATTCAAGACATTTAATTGATCATGCAGTTTATTAAATGACGCATGTAGTTTTATCCTGAATTATTTCTTAATAGGACAATTTCTGCTTTGTTTAATCCTTTTTTTTTGGCAGCATAGCATAATAGAAGTGATCTTATTTGCTTGTGTGTTTAATACTTTTGAAACACATGCACTCATTATTGTATTTTTGTCGATGTCTGAGTATAACCATCGCCCAATCGAAACTTCTCGAGCCTTTCCGACAAGCGGAAAAACAACCTCGAATGTGTTACGTAGGCGTCCATTAGGGTCGGTATACACGATAAGGCTTGCCTTGTAAGTCATAGAACTTAAGTTCTTGCCTTACCGTGTGTACACCCTTAATACACGGTTTTTAGAGCCTTACAAGTCTGACTTACAAATAGAACACTGCTCATTTCTTAATAAAAGACAGCTGAAATTTTCGTCTCAACCAATGAAAATCATTCGCCCAAATGTCATTCTATTTTTATCAAACTATACACGTGGGTAAATTGAAGTGAACACAAAGTATTTTTGAATTAGCTAATGAAAATATCAACAAATGCTTCTGTTCAACCTCTTCTTCCTTAAGAAGTGTGAATGTACTTGTTGGTATAATTATTACAAAGCCTAGTAATCTATTCTTCTATTTTAATGACCGAATGCACTATTTATGGCTGGAAACACGTGGGATTTATGGAAATGTTGTATATAATCTTGTAAGTCTTGTCTTAACATGTGGACACGAGAGCCATTCGGTCCTGCAAAATGTAAGGTTTTAGACTTGTAAGGCACTTGAAGCCTTACCGTGTGTACCGGCCCTCACAACCCCCCTTTTCACAAAATTTACAATTAATGTAGGGAGACCTCTTATCTGTATAGTTTGGAGATTAACTTTATTGAATGTAGAAATATCATCTAAAATATACTAAAGGAGTAACCTTGAACTCTGTGTTTCCAATGTTTTAAGTTTTAAGCGACTCCATCTTGTATAATTTTTAACATCCGACCTCTGACGGAAAGACCCGAGATGATGCGATTGACCATCGCCCTCGTGGCGCAGTGGTCAGAACGGTTGCTTCAGAGTCGCAGAGTAAGGAGTTGATCCTTATGTTGTGGCAGGTTTGAATCCCACATCAGGACGTGGATATCGGTCCATCGGATGAGACCTTATAAACCGAGGCCCCGTGTTGCAGTAGGTGCTGGCACGAAAAAGATCCCTAACCGGTCAAAGGCCGTAAAAGCCGAGTACAGGTCTTCCACCGGCAAGTGGTGGCATCTCAATATGAGTGAAAAATTCTCGAAAGGACATTAAACAAACAGAGTATAACCTGAGGAAATAATACTTTTAACTGTATATAGAGAGCACTTCATCATTTCAGCCACAACATTGTTATCTTCCTGATAATAATATCACGGGGTAATATGAATGTCCTTAAGTTGGCTCAGTCAGAAATGCTACATAAGCTTAAAATTGTATATCTGGACAGATAAATAAAGAAAAGTACAAAAAGGTAAAGTTGTTAATGTAAGTGCAGTATTTATAGTAGTCTAAACATGTAACAGGTCCTAGTCTGATGTACTTACACATACAGTACATGTGCGTAACCTTATACACACTGTACATTTTTACATATTAGGTAGATTGCGCATGCAATGACCTCTTTCAAACTAACTGATATGATTTGTTTTTATTTGTTTTGATGTCGTACTTATTATGGATTTGCTTTCTAAGCTGTATTTTCAACCATTTGGTACGGAACATTGTTTCTGATTTTCCTAGTAAAACATATTCTTAAAATAATACGTGTATTACGACAATGAATGAAGTCATAATTAATGTTTTCTAGTCACAGAAAGCTTCAAAGTAGGACGTAATGAACAGATCATTTCAAAACTCATAAGTATGCTGCCAAAAGATAATGTAGGGAAAAAAAACATAATTTCATGGTTTGTGATTTTCCCCCATACAGCTTCTTAAGTTGTATGTGCTTTCTGTCCGTTCTGGAATAAAAATAGTATCTATTAATAGTGATCAAAAGCATAAGCCTTGTATATATGTTTCGAATTTCAAAAAAGCAGATATCATTATTCCCTCGCAACGGAGGGCTATGTGTGTGTGTGTGTGTGAGAGAGAGAGAGGGTGTGTGTGTGTGTGTGTTGGAGGGGGGGGGGAGGTCTGTCCCATGTGTGAAACGGAAGTGACGGGATCGAACGTTCCCTTGATTTATATACCAGAATATGTATAATTTTAATCTACATGTGATCTTCTCATATTCCAAGAAATAAAATTGAACGATGGAATAATAAGATAAAACATACAGCAATTTACTTTTTTGAGTTGTATGCAACACAGGTGCTTGAGTATAGGAGCCCCCCCCCCCCCCCACTTCCCCGATATAGACCCCATATTTGAGATATAATCCATACCATCAATTCGAAAAATCACTTAAAACAAACATTTAAAAAAAATCTACCCAACTCTAATACATATAAATCAATTCAATAACTTAAATTATGTTATTTTTGCATTTTGAAATTCTGGCTGGATTTAAACATTTTGATTTCACAGAGACAGAAGAAGATGGGAGTGAGGAAAACTGCACAGAGCGCTCCATAGAGGAGTTTCCCGGAAATTTCATGACTCTAGAGCAGACTCAGGCAGGGGGCGTGGTGGTACACATACTTTTGGTACTGTACACACTTGGTGCCCTATCTATCGTCTGTGACGATTATTTCTGCGCCTCCCTTGAAGTCATCTGTGATGGTGAGCTTCAATCTTGACATAAATTATTAACTCAGTGAAAATCCTAGCTTTTAACATTAATCACAAGGAAAATTAGCTTGTGGGGCTTTTAATTTTACTAACAAAATTAAAATTATCACTAGAAATTTAAAAAAGCATCTCTAGTATTACATTGTCAAATTTAAATGCCATTTAAGTAAATGTTTTAATTCTTGTTATAGCTTTAATACTGATTTTTTTAAAAGTTACTAGACACTAACGATGCAATGTTAGTATTTATTGGGCATACTTGACTAAGACTCATAAAAGTCTTTCATCACAGAACTACATCTTAGACCGGATGTTGCCGGGGCAACGTTGATGGCCGCCGGAAGTTCTGCCTCGGAATTCTTTACAACAATTATAGGTGAAGTAAAAACAACAAACGCACGAAAAGAACCATGGTTTCTTTGAACCCGAGCATGTAATGAATTTTTAATGATTCTCAAATTTGCTTTTAGGTGTTTTTATAGCGGAGAGTGATATAGGGGTGGGCACTATAGTGGGAACAGCCGTATTCAATATTCTGTTTGTGGTTGCAATTTGTGGCCTTTTTGCTGGAATGGTTAGTTTGTTTCTTTGCGGTAACATTTTAAAATATTGTAGGTTTTCAGGAAGAATTACAACGGTTACTGCCTCTTACTTAAATGAAAAATGTACATAATTATAATAATGACAATTTTCATACCGAAATGCAGATTTAAGAAAAGTGTAAATTTACACATCACATGTGGTGAAATTTGAAACACAAAAAATGAAGATGAAAATGTGTTTATGAAAACATTGTGATTTATCAATGTAAGCCATATATTGTCTATTTTTTGTATGTAATTCATTAATTCATAAACATTATTTGACACATAAAAATAGCTTTCCTCTGCAACAATCCATTGATCACAGAACATTTTTGGCTGTTTTACATCCAGGTAGTACATCTGACGTGGTATCCTGTTCTACGTGACTGTGTCTTCTATAGTATATCTGTAGCAGTACTTATCATCTCCATGTATGACAACCAGATTCACTGGTGAGTACTAACAGTTCTTTTGTACTACCCTTATATCTTCAATTTATATCGTCACAATAACTCAGTCGGTAGAGCGCTCGCTCTGTGATCGGAAGGTCGTGTTTTCGAATCACGGCCGCGACTGACCTAAGTCGATAAATAATAGGTAGCAACTGTTCCTTCGCCAAGCGCTCGGCACTTTGGAGTGAAAGTTGCGGGTCTTTCGGATGAAACCTTAAAAACCTAGGTAGGCGTTGGCACGATAAAGAGCCCCCACTGCTCAATGACCCTGAGTGCCCAGTAAAGGTCTAAATTTGAAGCCCTTCATCGATATATGGTGACGTCTCTATGAGTGAAAAATTCTCGAACGGGACGTAAAACAACACATAATCAATCAATCAATCTTCAATTTACTGCATAAATATACTGAATAGCACGGGAAAGCTGTGAATAGTTTCTTAAATCCGCCATTTAACTCTAGTTGACATTTCACACTTCTTTATATTAAGGTATTCGCTTTATGAGTTGGCGCTTTAATCATGTTCGACTGTATGAAGACCATGTTGGATGGTCAAATGATTAATTATTCTTTTTGACCACAGTGTTTCAAGTGTTCTAATTGTTTTATGTGGCCCTATTTATTTTTAATTTTCTTTTCTTAAGTAGAATTTAAAAGTATAAAAATTTCATCCTTTTACATTTGAGCATGATATATATTTCAAAGTTTGGAAAAATTAACCTTCAAAAATCATTGAAAATTTTTGAATTTTCACAATATGTACATTGTAACATGTGTATCAAGCCGTTTATATTCATGTCAATGTGGTATTTTAGGTATGAAAGCCTCATACTATCGCTAATGTATGGGATATACATCTTGATGATGATTTTTAACTCGAGGCTGGAGAATACATTCTACGGGATATTCAATAAAATCACCAAAGGTAACCTAGAACAGGATCTAAGGAAACAACCGGAAGTGGAGGACAGTCAGATTCAACTGACTTCCGTTACACAAACAAATGGAAAATCGGGGGTAGTGAATTCTACCATTCATCAACCAGAAGAGAAGAACTCTGAGTCACAAACATCGGAAGAAGAAAAAGAATCGGTTAAAATTGAATTGGACAACAATTCCAGTAAGTCTTAAAAAACGGAAAAAAAATTCCATAAGGATTACATGCATGTACACTTGAACATTCACCAAAAAAGGGTCTATTCTTATCTTAACATTTAAAGAAATATAATAAATTTATACTCAGGAAATTTCAAAAGATTAGTGCTATTTTAAAAGTATTGGAATGAACAAGTTTTTAAATCGGCAACAAACTATAATTGTAGTAAAAGAATATGAGTCTCCTTTTGAGATGCCCAACCAGTGGATTTTACGTGTGTTCTGGGTGATAATGCTTCCAATGACAACGCTATTCTTCGTCACAATACCAGACTGCAGACGACAGGGAAAATGGCGGAAAACTTACCCTTTGACTTTCCTTATGTCAATCTCATGGCTGGGTGCTATTTCTTATGTACTGGTTTGGATGGCAACTATAGCAGGTTTGTGAAATATTATGATGTCTTTGTACAGTTTCTGGTATCTTACATGAACTAATTAAAGTGTAATTAACTTAACGTTAAGAAAAATACCATATGCTTGAAGAAGAAAAAGAGTCCACGATTAATAAGGCGATTTTCTGAGATAGAATGCATTTTCATTCTTTATGACCAGCTTAACTCCACCCTGCAGCTGGGGCCAGAAACTGAAACCCATGGTGCCATAAATAGGCAGTTATGATAAAAATTTATCACTTATTATCATATTAGGCTAACAATTCATCTGTTTGATGTTCAGGAGTAAGGAATCACTAAGGATTGTTTGATGATTACATTAATTTTAATGGTTTTCGATACATGTGTATAGTCTTTGTGACATACAAGTGTATAGTCTTTGTGACTTATATGTGTATAGTCTTTGTGACATACATGTGTATAGTCTATGTGACATACATGTGTATAGTCTATGTGACATACATGTGTATAGTCTTTGTGACATACATGTGTATAGTCTTTGTGACATACATGTGTATAGTCTTTGTGACATACATGTGTATAGTCTTTGTGACATACATGTGTATAGTCTTTGTGACATACATGTGTATAGTCTTTGTGACATACATGTGTATAGTCTTTGTGACATACATGTATATTGTCTTTGTGACATACATGTGTATAGTCTTTGTGACATACATGTGTATAGTCTTTGTGACATACATGTGTATAGTCTTTGTGACAGACATGTGCATAGTCTTTATGACAGACATGTGTATAGTCTATGTTACATACATGTGTATAGTCTTTGTGACATACATGTGTATACTAGTCTTTGTGACATACATGAGTACAGTCATTATGACATACATGAGTACAGTCATTATGACATACATGAGTACAGTCATTATGACATACATGAGTATAGTCATTGTTACATACATGTGTATATCCTTTAGGACATACATGTGTATAGTCTATGTGGCATACATATGTATAGTCTTTGTGACATACATGTGTATATTCTTTGTGACATACATGAGTATAGTCTATGTGACATACATGTATATTGTCTTTGTGACATACATGTGTATAGTCTTTGTGACATACATGTGTATAGTCTATGTGACATACATGTGTATGGTCTTTGTGACATACATGTGTATAGTCTTTGTGACATACATGTGTATAGTCTTTATGACATACAAGTGTATAGTCTGTGATTTATATGTGTATAGTCTTTGTGACATACAAGTGTATAGTCTTTGTGACTTATATGTGTATAGTCTTTGTGACATACATGTGTATAGTCTATGTGACATACATGTTTATAGTCTTTGTGACATACATGTGTATAGTCTTTGTGACATACATGTGTATAGTCTTTGTGACATACATGTGTATAGTCTTTGTGACATACATGTGTATAGTCTTTGTGACATACATGTGTATAGTCTTTGTGACATACATGTGTATATTCTTTGTGACATACATGAGTATAGTCGATGTGACATACATGTATATTGTCTTTGTGACATACATGTGTATAGTCTTTGTGACATACATGTGTATAGTCTTTGTGATGTACATGTGTATTGTCTTTGTGACATATATGTGTATAGTCTTTGTGACATACATGAGTATAGTCTTTGTGACATACATGAGTATAGTCATTGTGACATACATGTGTATAGTCTATGTGACATACATGTGTATAGTCTATGTGACATACATGTGTATAGTCTTTGTGACATACATGTGTACAGTGTTTGTGACATACATGTGTATACTAGTCTTTGTGACATACATGAGTACAGTCATTATGACATACATGAGTACAGTCATTGTGACATACATGAGTATAGTCATTGTGACATACATGTGTATATCCTTTAGGGCATATATACATGTGTATAGTCTATGTGGCATACATATGTATAGTCTTTGTGACATACATGTGTATAGTCTTTGTGACATACATGTGTATAGTCTATGTGACATACATGTGTATAGTCAGTGACAGACATGTGTATAGTCTATGTTACATACATGTGTATAGTCTTTGTGACATACATGTGTATAGTCTTTGTGACATACATGTGTATAGTCTTTGTGACATGTACATACATGCGTATAGTCTTTGTGACATACATGTGTATAGTCTTTGTGACATACATGTGTATAGTCTTTGTGACATACATGTGTATAGTCTATGTTACATACATGTGTATTGTATTTGTGACATACATGTGTATAGTCTTTGTGACTTATGTGTGTATAGTCTTTGTGACATATATACGTGTGTATAGTCTATGTGACTTACTTGTGTATAGTCTTTGTTTCATACGTGTGTATAGTCATTGTGACATACATGTTTATAGTCTATGTTACATACATGTGTAGAGTCTTTGTGACATATATACGTGTGTACAGTGTTTGTGACATACATGTGTATACTAGTCTTTGTGACATACATGAGTACAGTCATTATGACATACATGAGTACAGTCATTGTGACATACATGAGTATAGTCATTGTTACATACATGTGTATATCCTTTAGGACATACATGTGTATATCCTTTAGGACATACATGTGTATAGTCTATGTGGCATACATGTGTATGTATAGTCTTTGTGACATACATGTGTATAGTCTTTAGGACATACATGTGTATAGTCTTTGTGACATATATACATGTGTATAGTCTTTGTGACATACTTCTGTATAGTCTTTGTGACATACATGTGTATAGTCTTTGTGACATACATGTGTAAAGTCATTGTGACAAAGATGTGTATAGTCTATGTGACATACATGTGTATAGTCTTTGTGGCATACCTGTGTATAGTCTTTGTGACATACATGTGTATATTCTTTGTGACATACATGTGTATAGTCTTTTGACATAAATGAGTATAGTCTTTAATACTTCTGTCCTGACACTCATTAACTACATGCTCCTCAATTTTTTGAAAAATAGCTGATTATGATAACATGGTTAAGGTGTATAATGATATTATTTTCAGGAGACGCTATAGGGATCCCTGAGTCTGTGATGGGGTTGACTGTTTTGGCTGCGGGAGAGAGCGTACAGGACTGCTTAGCTAGTTTATTTGTCGCCAGAGCAGGTGAGATTAAACATTAATAGTACTAGGTCAAGAGTACACAGTTTTTGTTTGATATCAAATAATTCAATGATCTTCCCAGACAATATCAACCATGATTACACAATAAACGATTTCTGCACGAAAAGGAAATAGTGTGATCAGAACAACTTAATATTTTTTCATTCCATATATTTCTTTTATTTTTTTAACAAACAATATTTAAGCATCGATTTTCACAGTATTTCCTTTTTCCACTGAAATTAAAAGTATTTTAATAAAATGAAGCAGATTTTTGTACATCGCTTAGTTTACGCACCACTAAGATCAACACGTAGGATCCATTGATACCCTGATAAGAGAGATAACTATTGGATAAATAATATTTTGTCAAGTTGGACAGTCATTTTTGTCCAATTTTGCCCCACAAGCTCTGCTGAAAATTAATGATTTGGATTTTACTTATAAAGTATACTTCTTTTTAAAAAATCATAAACGTTAAAGCAACCTTAAAAGCCTTTAAGTCTATATATAGTTCTATATTTGTTACCTTCCTGTAGGTTTCGGAGACATGGCGATAGCAAATACTATAGGAAGCAATGTGTTTGACGTGTTGATGTGTTTGGGGTTACCATGGTTACTGATGTCCGCCATTTCTAGTGGATCCGCTGTAAAAATAAACAGCCGCGGACTAGTCTACTCCACCATCACAGTTCTTTTGAGTGTCGTATTACTTGTTGTTGCCATACTGATCAGTCGGTGTCGTCTGAACAAGAAGCTCGGCGCCATTTGTACAGTTTTGTTTCTTGTAGTCATTACATTGTCTTGTTTATACGAAACTAATATAATTGGTAATTTTGGTGTAATTAATTATTGTCCAAGGGAATGATACTCTACCATTTTCTAGGATTATTTTTGCCTGTCAGTGTAATCTCTACTGTGAATTAAGAAATGATATAATGGTCACGAAGAGGTGCACTGTATGAATTACGAGCTTGATTTTATTTAAATTCAATTAAATAAAAAACTCACTAAAAGTTACAAAAAGGATTTTTGGACTGGAGCCATAAAATTAACCCCGCTTAACGTATTTCAATGAATTTTTATGCATTGTATCGTATATTGGTAAAATGATTTAAACTGTATTCCGTCGACCAATCAGATTAAGCGTAACATATCAAACCTCCTGCAAGGCTGACAATAGATAAAATTTTACGTGTCTATCTAATATATCGTCTGATTACAGCATATGAAACACTAAAGATGGAGTGTAGGTTAAAGATACGAGTAGGAGAACAATTCCCTTAAAGAGTGGTAGCAAAAATATGATAGATAAAACTGTTAGTACCTTGGAAATCAGCCTCGAAGCGGGGAATCCCCCGTTTGTTTATTATTTTTGTTTCTTACCTTGTGTATTTTTATTATATATGGCCAATTTTTAAACCTACACAAAAGTACAAACCAATTGCACAGAATGACATACAGATAGAATTGACGGGGAAATTACATGTTTTCGAGAAAATAAAGACTCCTTATATCTTATTAGTCAATTATTTTTTATCAAATTGGGGTCGATTTTTTTTTTATACCAAAGGCCCTAGTTCCCAGAACTCCCCTTACATATATTACGCAGTAGCCTAATCATCTTTTGGAAGATGATTGGAGGTGTCCTGTAGATGTGCGATAAAGTCTCGGAATTTTCATCTTCCCCGTAGGGTCAAATGGGGGTCGAAAATGATGTCTTTTTAAATACAAATTTTAAAACATCCTGGTTTCAAGAACTCCTTTACATTTTACGCAGTTATGAGTAGCCTAATCATCTTTTATAAGATGATTAAGGATGTCCTATAAATGTATACAAGAAGGTTTCGAAATTTTCATTTTCACCTTGAGGGCCAAATGAGGGTCGAAAAACTACGTTTTTATACAAAAACCGCCTGGTTCCCAGAACATACATGTATTTTATGCAGTAGCCTAATCATCTTTTGGAAGATGAATGGTGTTGTCCTGTTGATGTGCAAGGTTTTGGCTTTTTTATTTTCACCCCGAGGTCAAATTGGTGTCGAGAAATGACGTTATTTTGTTTTACAAAAACACTCTAGTTCCCAGAACTTCTCTTACATTTTACGCAATAGTCTAATCATCTATTGGAAGATAATTGATGGTGTCATGTAGATGTGCAATACGGTTTCGTTAGTTTCATTTTCACCCTCGGGGTCAAATGGGGGTCGAAAAATGACGTTTTTCATCAATCTGATTAAAATCAGTTCCTTTGATTCACTCACATAGATCGCTACATAAGGATCTAAAGAAACTCCATTTATGGTCATCTCCTGGTGACCTTTCTAATAAAAATAGTCATTAAAATTTTGACCAATCAGAGAGCTCGTACTTAATCAACATTCGGGAAAATAAATGTAGAAATGAAAGTAGCTGTGGAGAAGATCTTAGGTTTTAAAATGTTTCGTACAAATCAAAGAGCTAAGAAAACAAGATTAAAGCAAAAACTTAGGGTATTTCTGTACAGAAATACTGTGGTCGTTCTGTTGACAGGCTACGAAACCAGGTCACAATTTTCCGTTCGTATATCACCGGGACTTTACTTCTGTAAGTGAATTCCGAGATACTTCTAAATTCTTGCCAGCGAACGTTTGATTGGATAGGTCACCAGGAGATGACCCTGAATGGGGTATGTAGCGGTCTATGTGAGCGGATCAAAGGATCTGATTTTAATTAGATGGTTTTTATACAAAAAACACATTGGTTCCTAGAACCCCTTTTACATTTTACGCAGTAGCCTAGTCATCTTTTGGAAGATGATTAGTGGTGTCTTGTAGATGTGTAATAAGACTTCGGAATTCTCATTTTAACCTGGGGGTCAAATTGGGATCGAAAAATGATGTAAGTTTTTATTTATTTTTTTTATACAAAAACACCCTGGTTCCCAGAACTCCTCTAACATATTATGCAGTAGCCTAATTATCATTTGGAAGATGATTGATTGCGTCCTGTAGATGTGCAATAAGGTTTCTGAATTTTTCAATTCATCTTGTGGGACAAATAGGGGTCGAAAAATAACTTTTCTTTTTGCATTTTTAATCTACATTTTGTAACCATGGCAGCATTATTCAAAGAAATCAAAAACTGATGAACATTAAATTATGTACATTATTAAAGGGTTATGTGCACAAAGTCATTGAATTTGAACCAAAACTCTAGGAGGAGTAGCGGTTTGAACGCATCTCACAAAAATATCTTCTTTTTTTTTACTAACCATGGCAAAAGTATAATAGGAAATCAAAAAACCGATAGAGAATTATGTACATGTATCTTAGTATAGTCTACTTGGCTCCAGGTATTAATGAAATCCAGAATCAAAGCTGTAGGAAGATAGAGTTTTGAAAGAACACATGTGAGTCTACACTATGTTATGAAGTTTTCACATAAAGTTATTTTTTTCTTGCCCAGTGGTTTTTGAGAGGACTTTTGAAGATTATATTCCCTATACATTCCCATGTAAATCTTCGATCCCCTATTGTAGCCCCAGCCTACCCAAGGAGGTCATGATTTTGACAAACTGGAATTAACACTATGTGATGAAGTGTTACCTAAGTTAAAACTTTTTGTAGAGGCTCATGTATGATAATTATACCCTGAGGGGTACATGTAAATCAGTTGAGGGTTCAGTGAGTTGTTTTCAAATTATTAAACATATCGGTAATTTAATTCATTTGTGCATGCTCCCGAAGACAGTTGTGTATTTTTTAAGGGATTTAAGTGAAAAACTTACGTGTTTTAAATAATAGAAGTTCCAAATCATGAAAAAGACTTCTTATGTTCTTTTGCAATTAATTGTAGATCAAAGACATGATTGTGAGTAAACTTATTTTTTATACATCTGGGAGTGATATCAATTTAGCTGCAGTTTGAATTACATGTAGTATAAAATCCTTAAAAAATCATCAATTAAAAAAATTCTTATATTATTCCATTTTAATGGTTGGTTCAAGTAGATGTCAGAACAAAGGAAAGAAAGAAAGAAAAGGAGAGAGAGAGAAAAAATACCCCAGGTTTATAGCCATATGCAAAACTAAAAACTTATGATCGCAAGTGCTCAGAAAGAACTATAATCGTATTTGAAAAAAATCATGCATTGTTTTCAGAATAGCTCGTAGCTGAAAATGTATACAATGTCACCATAGTATGATTTTTATCCATGTTGAAAAACTGCATATTTTAGAAAACGGTACACTATATATAGCTAATCAAGCTTTTTGAAAAGCAAAATCAAACTATAGCGATAGATAGCTAATTCAACCACAGAGCTTAATCAATTTTAAGATGCAAGACCTGTTCAACTCTTGATCATTCTTAAAATATTTATATCATCATTCCAGATTCAAGGAAAAACTAGGAATATGACCAAAAGTCTAAATAGATATCTATTGACTACGTAATAAACATGCACATGTTTGTTTTGAGAAGAGTAAAAAATGATGACAAGTCAGAAGTGGGGTTAATAATTATCAGGAGTTCAGGAGCAGAGATAACTCCTTCCCCTTTTCCCCTTTCCCACCCCCCAGTTTGTTTATGTATGCAAACTTATACTTTGCTTTGATATTAAAAAAATTGTGAATATATAACAAAAATGTGCACAAAGTTTAAAATTACGTCTATCTGAATGATTTTCATTCATAATCAGGAGAGTGGGTTGACCCCAAATCATGAACGGAATGTCAAGCAATCTTATCATATGCATTGATGCACTGATGAATTGCACGTCATATTGCTATTTCTAGTTCAACAGCTGTTCAAGGGGGTGGGGATGACCCTCAGGCTAGAGGTTGATAACCTTTATACCATTAGATACATAATGATACAAGAAACAAAATTATGTATGGTCAACAGTGCATGGTCAAGGGGAAAAGTTTTAACCATTTTTCAGTTACATAATCATTTGTCGTTTCAGGTACAGGGGGTGGCCAGGGAGACCTTTGGGGGTCATGACCCCTTATACCATTGAATCTGTCATAATGAAAAGACGGCTTTGGGATTTCCGATCTTATTTAAAGCTATTTGATTGTTTCCATATCGAGGGAATGCGAAGGACCCCCAGGGACTTGCTTCAATATATAACTTGCATTTGAAATCCGATGATCTTTGATCCTTTTTAAGCTATAACCTAACCATTTGCATTTCAGATTATTTTACCCCATTTTATACCTAAACTTTTACTTACCACCTGTCATAGGTACTGTCAACTTCATTATATATAATCCAAATGAATTAAAACACACAATGAATTAATTCCTACTGATATAATGATGTGTACGACATGTACAATCCAATAATGATAATGTTAAAACAAGTCCAATGTGAGTCGAGGGTCTAGAAATTTTCAAAAAGGTGTACACATGGTACATGTACAAATTTTATATTATAAGTACTTTTTTTTTACATAACTTTGTACTATCTATTTCAGAAAACAGGCAAGTTGTGGGGAGAGGAGGTTGACAAAATTGATCGGGTGTGGGTTTTAGGGAGGGGTTTTTCCTACCTTAATACTGATAAAAGTTTGCACAATCTGATCAATTTCGAAAGTTGGCATCTAATTTTTTTTTAATTTGAGTTCATCAAAAAATGCACTAAAATAATAATATTTGTTTTGAAAATAAACTTAAAGAGTTCCAATTATGGACCAAAATTGCATCCCCCTCTTTAATAATATTAATTTAAAAAAAAAAAACACACACACACACACACACACAATTTTCATCATTAATTAAACTCTGTAATTTCAGACTGGTAATGAATATAGTATATGAAAGCCCATGGGCCACATGTTTTGCTCGATTTGACAACTACATGTTCTATGTAAATTATTATCAATTATTGTGGCTTTTTCCTTGGTTATCCAAATATGAAGGAGTGTACATTTATAGGCAAACACCTTAGTGCGGGTACTACTGTCTTATGACAGCATCAAGGTTTTTTTGTTTTTGTTTGGGTTTATTATTATTATTATTTTTTTTTTTTTGATATGAAGATTCCAGTGAATTCATGTTCTCAACGAAATGTTACTATTTCCAACTATATTATTATGACTTTTCTTCAACCACGAAGCAATATCATTTTCTTACTTGAAATACCTCAAACTTGACCCCCACAAGAGATTGTACAGTATAAACAAGTAATAAAGTCCAGCCCTTTGGATACCTTTATTACGGATAGATTTAATTTTATTTTTCGCGATACAATCGAAGGCTCATCACTATGGTATATTTTGACAAATTAAGAAAGAAATGTGGTCTTTGGATCAAAAGCATAAAAAATAATATTCGACCGAGAAAGATTGATTATGTTTCTTTATCTTATTAAAAGATTAAATGAAGAAATTAAATCTAAAAAAAAAAGTAAAACTTAATCCTAAAGTACTTTTTAATTCAAAGTGCACTGCATCAATTTCTTGTTTGTCACAACAATGTTTCTGTATCACTTTGCTTTAATACCTCGCAAAACACAGATCATATTGAATCTCGTTATCTTCATAAAAACAAAATAAAAAATTCAAGACAAGTAACTGTATAGGAGTACTCGCCAGACTTACAGAATCCTTTCTGGATCCAACAAATGCAACTGATAAAATATCGGCTGACAAAATATCACATTGCCACCATATATATGTAGAGAGAGAGAGAGAGAGAGAGAGAGAGAGAGATAAGATTTGTTAAGTATGGTAGGGTTTTTTCATTATCGAACAAGTTGAATTTTTGTATGTAAATGTGACTCTTGCCAAACTACATGTGTATACCATCAAACAAAAGATGAACAAGGATCACGAAGACTTCTTAATCAAACGACTAGAGAATATTGGTTGGAATTTTACTTTAGATAACATGAGGAGTAAAAAATGCCTCGAAATTACAAATATTTACGGTACTTGGGGTCAAGCATATGCCTTCCTCTATGAACCGGTGTTCTCTATTCTACCATTAGGTTCCGCTTTTTCGATGTTAATTGCATTTATGCGCGGAAAACTTTTTGGGTATACACAGCGATTCATTATCTGCATCATGTTGTCAGATGTTTGTTTCATTTTCGTTTCTACAATTAGAGATGGACTCCTGTCTGCCTTTGACATGAACTACGGCTTTATCGAGTACAATGTTTGTAAATGGATATTTTACTCCTTTAGAACACAAAGCAATATTCAAGGCGTTTCTGTTTGGTTAAAAACTCTTATGATTTTGCATCAACTGTTTTTGGTTGCGTTTCCGTTTAAAGTTAGACAAGTGCAGTTTAAAAAGGTGTGGTGTGGATTTGCTTTTACGCATGTGTCGATAACAGCTCTCTATGAAATATGCAGAACGAAAACACAGTTTTTGAAGATTCGGTTGATGCAGCAGTTTAAACCAGGGCATCCTATGAAAGTAATAACGGGATGTGAAGTATTGAACCTTCTTATTTTAGATTTCTTTCAACAGAATCCGTATGGAACAAAGTAATTTATTACTTTTTCATGTCTTACTTTCACCTTATTCCATTTGCTATTCATATTTTTGCAAATATTATATTGGTATTTCTTTTACGACAAAATTTAGCTAAAATATCACTGTTGTCAATAAACGTAAGGAAAACAACTTCAAAAAGTATTAAATTTATAATCCTTATAAAGGTCAATATTTTTATGAGGATATCCTACATTTTGCAGGAATTGCCGCTCATAATCCTTTTGACACATGTGCCCATGGTTGATACTAATACCATCTCAAATCATTACGTCTTTAATGGAGTATATATTATAGTAATCTCAGCGAGATCCGTAGAGACTAAAAATTTTGATCTGGTGTCTCTACGGATCTCAGTACAGTATCACACAAACTGAATCGGGCTTTCTTGCCCCAACTTCGACCGCCTGTTTCAATCAATACGGGCTGAAATGAATTAGCTGCCCGCTTCAACTTTTTCCTTTGGACATCCTTTTAGGTCTCTATCACTATAAAACTTTCATGTCTTACCTTTAAAAGGTTTAAATCCAACAAAACATAAAGTTGTATATTTTTCATAGCTATGTGCTAATCGTTTAAACCTCCGACGCTGAAGAGTTCCAGTCAAGGTCGCAAATAGTCCGTTTCAAAATGTTTCGTACTATGATTTATATAGAAAACGGTGTCCAGAAGAACAGAACTTTTTAAAAACGCCCTCAATTTGCAATTTTTTTTTGCACAAAACAGTGAACACGGAAATTATACGCAATTAAAAGGAAACTTTGATAATTTTATACAGTCCACTTCATTTATATTCATATTCTGGAATGCAGTTTTCTCAGTTAAATTTTTCTTTTCTATATCTCAAATCAAGGTATATAAAATGCAATTAGGGCCTCTCAATGAAATTTATACATACAAACAAAGACATACTTAATTAAAATTAAATTTTAAAAAAGAATTTTTGAAAAGCACACATTTAGTATACAACTGGCTAATCTCAGCTACATAATAATGATAATTTTATGATTTTGATTACTGAATTATGTACTTGAAAGTCTGAATTAAGGACCCAAGTCTGCATATCAATATGTAATGATATCATGGGATACCAAACTCATCTCCAACTTTTGATTGGTTACCACAGCTGCACTTCAAGGAACAGAAAGTGCAACACCTAGAAGCTAGGCACTGATCTTCATTTCCACTGCAACTTTGACCATTTTCCTGTAGGTGAGACAATGCCATTCCTTTTATCTCCATGTTCTTCAGAACAGAATATCGAATGCATGCATTTTTCTGCAAAGATGACTTGGCAACTGATATCATCTTCTCGTCCGTGATTTTCTTAATCAATGACCTGCCATATGCATAGCATATAGCATACGCATCCCTTTCATCCCTTCCTCCTCTTCCAACTTCCTGCCAATAACAGAGCACAGACTTGGGAACTCCCCAGTGAACTACAAGTTCCACATCTGGAATTTGAACTCCCATCCCAAATGCCACAGTAGAGAACAAACATTTAAGTTCACTGTCATTATCTTTAAAAGACTGTAATATTCTTACACTGCTGTCTTCATCGATGTTACGATGAAACATGTCAATAATTTGTACAGATTTTTTCTGCAGAAGTAGATGGTCTTTTACGTGATTGTAGAGAGTAGCAGTTGAAGTCACAGACCTGAATTTTATAATGAAATATGTATAAATTATAAAATTTCAGTAATGTCAACAGATTTAAAAATTCAATAACATATATAACAGTCATGCTTACCTGCAATACACAATTATTTTCTTTAAACAAATGGTGTCTCTCAATAGGTAGTCCAAAAGCCATTGTAATTCCTTTTCATGATCCTGTTTGGATTCCCTAATGTCGAGGTATATGTTAGGTCTGCAAATATAACATAAAAGGCAAGGCAATTCTCAAAAAATCAATGCATAACTAAAAAGCTTTGAACTCACATGAACAAAATTTAAGTTGATAACTGCACAATGGCATTATATATATTTGAATATCATCCTACCTGTCAGGGACCACAGCCACTGTTAAAGATTCATCATCAAAAGCCAATGATGTGAAAATGTCTTTACGGACCTTTTCATCGCAGGTTGCTGTTACTCCAAGAACTGGAACATCAACAAACATGCTTCGCAAGTGTAAAACATCCTTATATGCTGGTCTGAAATCTTCTCCCCTAGAATAATGAAGACAAATATGCAAGTATATACAGAGTTTCAACAAGTTGGTCAACTTCAAGAGCAATTTATATGTAACAATCTTTTCTGTAAGATAAAACTTCCATTATAATGTAATACCATTCAGATATGCAATGGGCCTCATCACAGGCCAACAAACAAACTTTCTTCTGCATACTACTACTAAGGAATATCTCTCTCCAGAATTTTGATCTTACTGACTCAGGGGATAAGAATAATATTGAGAACATTCCTTCCTTGATACCCGTAAAAAGAAATACGCATGTCAATCAACCTAAATATCTAATTTGATCATAGATGTGATTTGGAAAAGTACATGCTAAAAAGATATTTACCAGCAATAGCTTCCGTGGACATATCTGGTTCTACAGCAGTTGACTGGACATTCATCTCCTTCAGCGTGTTTACCTGGTCAGCCATAAGAGATTTCAAAGGTGACACCACAATGGCTATATGGCGAATGGTCCAATCAAACTGTGAAATGGACATTTTTTCATTATTTGTCTACACCATCAAACTTTTTTGCGGGGGTGGGGGTGGGGTTACATACTTACTTAGAAAATTCAAGTGAAACTTTCTTGACACCCCCCCCCCCCAAAAAAAAATTGTTCAACCTAAAAACCTTTCATGGGGGTTGGGTGGGGGTTCCTTCAACCCACCCCCTTTACCCACACACACACACAAATGTATATATATATATATATATATATATATATATATATATATATATATATATATATATATATATATATATATATATATATATATATATATAGGGGCCAATGATTTCAAGGGGGTTAAACATTTTTTGACATCTCTAAAAATTTCTGGGACCACTGTATTAACACATTTCGTAATTTATTCGGATTTTAAATGAGAAAATTTGTAGAATAAAGAGTGTTTGCACATAATATAAGAACAAAATTGCTAATTAAATAAAATTACCTCGTCAAGCAACAAAGGAGGTAGAGTAAAGCACATGGATTTTCCATAACCGGTAGGTAACAAAGCAAAAACGTTTCGCTTGTTCATTAACCCTTGAATGACTGCTAATTGTTCTTTTTTGAGATGAAATGGAAAATTGTACACGCTTTTCAGTGACTCAAAAGTTTCAGTTATATCCTTTACGTCCATAACTCTTTTAATCTTGACGTCGAACGTCAAACGTATTCTCATGACATTTGGCGCGAAAACACGCGTGTAACATAGCAGAGATGGAATACAAACGAAGGTTGACGCCGGTAAAGACACCGCGGAAAACGAAGGTTTTTCGACCGGTTGGCAGTACTCCTTCAAAGTTCAAAGATGTTAAAGTAAGATAATACGCACAATGTCAAAGTAATACTGTAATCACATACCGGATAATATGAAAATGGTTTTTACAAAAGAAAATTAAATAAACTAGATGCGGATCCAAAAATTACTCAGAGTAATTAACTCCAAAAATATTTCTGAGTTGAAAATTTAGGCAAAGATATAAGAAGACAGAAATTAAATTTGCAATATTCAAACTTGAAAATCTAATTCTTGGGGCTCTTAAATTCCACAAAGTTACAAGAAATCTTTTTTTCCCAAAGGGAGTTTCCAAAGTAATTTTTTATGATTTCTTTTAATTGTTGCACTTTAATAATTTGTTTTATCTTGCCCATGAAAAAAAGGGGGCAGTGTCCCCTTCCTCCGCATGCATACTGTAACAACATATTATCTTAAATACTTAATTTTACAAATGGAAAGTGCAGACAGTGAAAATTTTTTTAAAAAAAGTGTCCAAATGGCACTGATATCCTTCAGAATAGTAATGTAAAATATTATGCTAATTTCAGATTAAAAGTGTCGGATATGCCTGTAGATGCATAGAGCATTATGAATATAAGAAAGCCTTCACATATTTATACAACAATTATGCTGGTGCCAGAAGAGCAGTGGAGAACTTGGTAAAGAAAGAAATAAGGAAAGGTGTAAAGAATCTCCTTAATGACAAAGAGGGAAGTCTTCTTAAGAAATGCAACTTGGAGAACATAAAAAAATTCAGTTGGTCAGCTATTCTGTCTGATGTTGCGAAGTACATTCCCATTCTGTATTCAGCATTAATTGCCACCGTTGCCAGTCCATCCAACGAGAAAAATCTTCGATCAAGGTTAATATAAATTCCTATGACATTAAGTATAATAGTAAAGCACTTCTGCTTTATATACCTGTACATGTATTTCGATGAATTAGATGTGTTTAACATGTATTACTACATGTACCAGGTGTATATCTTAAAATTGAGAACATGGAATTCTAGTTCCTGTTATAGTAACTGATATATATTATATTCATTTCATTTTTTTAATTGTTTTATAGATGGCAAACATTTCAACATTTTTTTTAGAGTTCGCAATAAACCATTGGCTCCTGGTATTGGACTAGCAGTTTCAGTCCTTCTCCATTTGTATTCCCCATTGAAAGTGAAGTTTGTGCAGGGGTTGAATTCTATTGAATTATGGAGATGTGGTGCACAAAGAAAGGTATTTAAAATTGTAATTTTTTTTATTATCAAGTTAATTTATTGTGTCAATTAACAAGAGAAACTAATTATGAAATAAAATTTCTGTAGGCATTTCTGCACTTGAATCAGTTGGGATTCTGCACAAGCAAGAACACAGCTTTGAGACTGATATCTCAATTAAGAGTGCATTCAGATGAGGATTTGTTGTATTTGAAAAGGGTCATTGAGGTATTTAAATTTATAATTTTTTGTTATGATTTATACTAAAGTTTTCTTTACAAGAACATGCTGCCCCTTTTTAACATTAGTAAACTCCTGTTATTTCATTGTGATTAATAGCACCAGATGGAAGCAGGTACTTTGGAAACATGTTTAGAGAGTGATACTGATATAGATATCAGTGAACTGAGCTCTGAGGAAGTAGTTCAGTCCTCAGGGACTGACGTAGGTACCTCATCAGGCTCTCTTCAAGAGGACTCTGAGGATTCTGTTTCCGGAGATGATGAAGAACTGAACACAATTGAAAGTGTTTCGGATTTAGGTAGTACATGTATTAAATAAAGAATTAATTTATTCATTAAGAAAACCTTGTATGAAAATAGGAAACATTAAATTTAGCATGGTGTTCAACCATTTTTTAGTAACAGTTATAAAATTAATAACTTTAAACAATGCAAGTATTTGTATTCCAGTTCCATATTCACGGGGATTTTGTATCACATGGGACAATGTTGGGAAAATGGTAAAGGCCTGTCATCAGAGTACAGAACGGCAAAATAAAATGATGCTATGGGCTTTGGCTTACTGTGCGGAGAACAGAATTCCTACAACACACTTAACAAACAGTTATGTGAATGCTTCAGATATACCGCTCCAGAAGTTTTTGCCAATGGAGGAAGACATCACCGAAATCAAACAGCGCATGGAGGTCATTGTAGCAAGGATCATACAGAAGGAGATGCCTTACTTTAATAGCTGCAAAGTTGTTCCTCACATCAGACACAAATTCTGGAGAGAGTCTAGCAGGAAGAGTAAAGTAGTAAGTTCACTTTCCAACTGTTGATCATGTGTTTTCAGTAATATAAATTTGCTTATTTTATCATGAAAAATTAATTCTGAACAATTACTGTCTGCATAAGAAGTATTTGAAATATATGCATACTTGAATGCAGATAAATCTTGGAGTCTGTCAGGAAAATCCCTCAACCACCACTGGGACCATCAAGATTATGGAACAACTGCATGAGTATGTTCCACGACAGGGGGATGAACTCTTCCAACTGATATGTTTTGGCGATGGATTGTCTTGTGAGAGACACAATGATGCTCACATGGCTCGTTCAAATGGAGAATCAATGCTCTCAAGACTACAGGGATTGCAGCCTCAGGTTCAAGAATTTCACAAGAGAATGCTACTTATGCAGGTAATTTCATCTCAATGAAAACTAAATGAAACTTTTCTAATTACATGGTAGCAAATATGTGCTATATCACTGTCTGTGCATTAACAGGATCTAATGGACACATTTTTCCATGGAAGCAGTGCAGCAGAAAAGGGAACTCTTTTCCATCTGAAAAATGTTTTTGGACACAGGTCTGTTAAGAAAGATGAAAGAGAGACATTTAACCATGCAGCAGACTTTATAAAGTTTGTAACGCATGGTTATGTCCTCCTGGCAACGATGGATATGTGTGGTATGGAGAGCATAGGGGGCCCTCCTAATCTACCGGAAGATGGAGATGATGACACCCTCCTGACAGATGTTGCTAGAAGAGTTGTCCAACTCATCTGGCATAGTCCTAGAGTGGAAAAAATCCTTGGCAGCGATGCAGATGAGGAAGACAGCTATATTTACTGCCTTTGTAAAATAGGTAAGTTATACTCTCTCTCTCTCTCTCTCTCTTTCTCTCTCTCTCTCTCTCTCTCTCTCTCTGTTTCAATGTCTGAAATTTTCTTTCCCATTTTCCCATCATTTTTTTTTCATAGATCTTGGAGATGATGTCCCAATGATCTACTGCTCCGGTATTCATTGTCCAGGGAATAACTGGTTCCATCTACAGTGTTTGCACATGGAGGATGATGATGTTCCTGATGAAGAGTTCTACTGTTCTGATGATTGCAGGAAACGTGCTGTTTATAAATACTGCAACTGCCATGTGGACATGGGACAGTATGAGCCGATGATGGGGTGTGACAATCCGAATTGCAGGAATGAGTGGTTTCATTTGAAATGTGTAGGACTGAAAAATGCACCAGGTTATTTACTATTTATATGTTTCAAATGAATGTGTTTTAAGAAACATTACATGCTGCATGCTGTGCCGTTTAAATAGTAACTGACAAAAATTCTTTCATAGCTGGAAAATGGTTCTGCAGCAAAGAATGTAGGATAGCAGGTTTGAAGAGGAATTTGAAGGCTGATACAAAGGAGGATGGTGTGTTCAATTACATAACAGCACTGATGTTTGTAGGACTGATGGATCTTGTCCGTCATGATGCTGTCCGGGAAAATGATGGAACAGCCATGATGTCCCATTGGCGACTGGATATGATCCTTTTCCATAACAACCATCATCCCAAATATGTCTTACTTGGACACAGACTGTTAGCAGGTATGGTAATCAATAAATGGTAATTTATGGTAGTTGTTAACTTTTAGTTTGTTAAATTACATGTAGATATTATATATTCTTGCTTTACACTAAGACAAAATGGCCATTATATATATATGTATTTATACCAAAATTTAGGGGTGGCTGGCTGGCTTCCAGAGCGTCTTGCCATGGACAGTATCTGGAATAGAACTGTCAATTTAGCAGGTGGTCCTGGTAGAAATTTGGAATGTGATATGGTAAACGAGTTCTTGAACAAAGAGTTTAAAGGTATGTAATGCATTAGTTCTTCTTATTCTTTTGTTGAAAACATAAAGATATAGTTATATATATATATATATATATATATATATATATATATATATATATATATATATATATATATATATATATATATAGATAGATAGATAGATAGATAGATAGATAGATAGATAGATAGATAGATAGATAGATAGATATAGATATAGATATAGATGTCTCAAGTTCCTTTTTTTTGTAACAGAGTCCCTGAAGGGTGCAGGAGGCAATTTAACAGAGGAAACAATCCACAGACATAGCCAACTAGCTGGAGGTTTGGGCAGAGTCATTGACAAAGCTTATGCTGAGTCCGTTGAGGCACACCTCTCTGACTTCATTAGGAAAGACCATACAAGTTACACCAAGGATTTGGAACTGTTTGTTAAACTGCTTCTACCAGAACAGTTTTTTAGGTATAGCCCTGGAAGAAGCTTCAAAAGCTACCCTGATTTCAATTTCTCAATCGAATCCAGGCACCCGGAAAGATTGAAGAAAAAACTGTGCCAGCTTTCTAAAAGACTTGATAAAATCCGGAGGTGCACAGCAACAGATTAGAAAGGAAATTTAAGTAACAAGAGGACCCACATACTGTACAAATGGATGCTTACATATATTAGATTAATCGGGCTCTTTCCTCTTCTTAATATTAAGTTTTTGAAGACGTTTGTCCTTTGATGAATGTTTACTTGAATGCAATTACAAAAAGATTTATTTGTATCATCTCTTTCAGTCATAATACACCAGAGTGTACAAATTTCAGGATTCTTCTTTTCAGCATACTGTAGGCTACTTCTTGTAAAGTATTATTTACCGTTAAAGAAAATTATTAAAATTATAAACATGTCTATTAATTTTTGAAATTATTTATTGTCTTATGAGCAACTTAAATTGTGGTGAGTAACGAAGTGAAAAAAAATGTCAGGTATAAAGTTTTAACAATCTTCTATTCAAAGACACCAGAAAACTGCATTCCAGAATATGAATATAAATGAAGTGAACTGTATAAAATTATCAAAGTTTCCTTTTAATTGCGTATAATTTCCGTGTTCACTGTTTTGTGCCAAAAAAATTGCAAATTGAGGGCGTTTTTAAAAAGTTCTGTTCTTCTGGACACCGTTTTCTATATAAATCATAGTACGAAACATTTTGAAACGGACTATTTGCGACCTTGACTGGAACTCTTCAGCGTCGGAGGTTTAAACGATTAGCACATAGCTATGAAAAATATACAACTTTATGTTTTGTTGGATTTAAACCTTTTAAAGATAAGACATGAAAGTTTTATAGTGATAGAGACCTAAAAGGATGTCCAAAGGAAAACGTTGAAGCGGGCAGCTAATTCATTTCAGCCCGTATTGATTGAAACAGGCGGTCGAAGTTGGGGCAAGAAAGCCCGAATCAGTTTGTGTGATACTGTACTGAGATCCGTAGAGACACCAGACCAAAATTTGTAGTCTCTACGGATCTCGCTGAGATTAATATTATAGTTTTGTCACTGACTTTTACATTTGGGAAGCCTATAGATCTATTGATTTACGCAAGCTTAAGTTCATCTTTTAAAAAAGAGATGAAGAATTTATTTACTAGATGTTTCCGATGCAAAAAATCACATCAAAATAACAAAAAACTCCCCCTCAGAAGTTAAAATTGAAAAGAGTTGTCCAAACTTCCGGTAGGAAATTTCGTGTTCAGGATAAATTTCAAAAGTAGGTGTAGAATCCTAAGCGCTCGTTACCATCTGCAAATTAAGGTTACTTTCTAGACAAGAAACCCGGAAACTTCGCCATTGTTTTCCTCTACTAATCTGATCCATGGCCTTTATATAAACACAAAATTGACTTTAGTTGACATGGTCTGAGTACGTCTCATTTCTTAGTGGTTATTCTCAACAAATTCTATCATGTGTTGGCAACAGTTTCCAAATTCACCTTTTAATATAAATAGGAACCTGTTACGATTGAAATAGATATCTGTTTTCCTATGCATTTATAACAAGTCTTATTTTGAAAGTTTGTAATGTCTTGTAACTTGTCCTTTCGTAAACCAATTTTCTAATTGTTGTCCCCAAATTGTTTTATATACAAATGTTTTATGTACTGGAAACTAGACTTATTGACGGTCACAATCTGTTTTTGTTTGGGTATTTGTGTGCAGTATAAATCTTATTGTTTGCTATCCATCATTTAATAAAGAGAAAAACCATATTCATGTATCTTAGTCAAAACTTAACCCGTCAGCTCAATGGACACATACATGTATCAGTAAAATTTTCATTTTATTATTCTGATTTCTTTCATTATCAACATGATTAAATGGTGTTTGTTGAAAATTAATGAAACAGCCTTATTCCGCATATGACCACAAATCACTGTTCGACACCTGTCAATCCAGATTTCTTTAACGAAATCATCATCTTACTGGTTACCCGACGTCTTGACAATTGACGATTCAAGATAGTATCACTTCCCGTCACTCGAAACTTCCGGTACAACAAATGGTCACCTAAATGGTGAAGATGCAATTGTGAAGCAACCACAGATTTTTTTTCTTTGTGTTAATTAATACAAAATTACTTGGAATAAAAGATTATAATTGCTTGTGGTAATAAAAATGTCGATAAAGGCTGATAATATCGTAGAAACTCAACTCTTTTACGCAGGGACCACTTTAAAAAATGTCAATGATTCTTCCGCGCTCCTCTGCGAGCATTTTATTCGAAACGTTTAATTTTTTCCGGTAAAATAATTGTTCAAAATAAAAAACAAAAATCAAAGAGACAATATCATGTTCCGAAATTCATACATTCTGTTTGTGTGTAACACTTTTGTTTCCGGACTGTCTCTTAAAAAAAAAAACATTTGAGCTTTTGCAATGAAATTTTATATCTTACTACATGTATCTATGGTCCAATAAGACCCCTATTGATTTAGAGGTCGAAGGGTCCAAGGTCAATGATAGAAATCTATACATAGTAAAATAAAGATTATGAAGATAATAGCATTTATGTCGAAACTGTTTTCCATTTTATTATTTAACCTGTATTGTTCCCCCGATCATGAAGCCCTGTTTTGAGCCCCTTTTCACTGAGAGAATCATCTGTGCCTCGGCCAATGAAATCTCACTTTTGCATTATGCGTCCTTAATCTTTTATTTACATTGTTTAACTTAAATATTCTGCAGCCGCATCTAAACTGTGAATTTTATTAACCTACCACCTCCCTAAATCTTGTATATCCACCTTGAAATCTCAGCTTTTTTGTATTATTTATTATTTTGATATAACTTGTAACACTAATTTGGTTATTTTGGAAATCTAATAATATTGTTTGTAACATTCTAGGATTTGCAATACAATCTTCTTTGGCGTATGGAGGCCTTGTTGGCCCTATTGTTTGCCATCAAATTGCTTTGGCCCTACTGTTCGCCATCTTTTTGCTTTTATAAGCTTTTGAACAATTTTTCAAAGTTTGTGATTGAACTAATACTGAAGTATTATTGTTATTTGTGAAAATATTGTTTGGGGGGGGGGGGGGAAATCAGGAGAAATGTGATGAAATGTTATGTAACTAGATGACAAAATGTTTGATATTTGCTGATTTCCCCCTTTGTTTGTAAATCCAATATTTCGTTAATTTTTGACTTAAAATAAATAACATATTTCATTCTCAGGCAATTGTCCTGTTGTATATGTCAATTTAAATCTGAACACGATTCGTAAAAGGAATGTGTCCGCCATATTCGCCCCTATATAAAGCCGCTCACTTAGTCACTGTTTAGACTGTAATCAATCGTCACCGGTGTAGACGAACGTATGCTATACAGCACTCAGTAGCGACAAAAAAAAATAACTGTGTACTTCTCCTAACGCAGGAGCGTAAGATACCAAAGAAACGTACAACAGATGCACAGATAAGTGCAGTATACAAACACAAAATACATATTACTGCAAAAAAATGTAAACAAAGGTAATGCAAGATAACCAGCACGAACACGGGTCGCCATTCCACGACGATACCCGCGACAATAAATCAGTCAGGTGTAACGAATGCTAAGAGTATACCCCGGTGCTGATATCGTAGATAGTAATATCGAAAATGGCGTATGCCTATTTACGAGTCGTGTTCAGTTTTAAGCAAAAACAAGCTTCAGTGTTTCTAAGGAAAACAGTATGAGACATAAATAATATAATAATAAATAAATCATGTAAGTTTTTTGTTTGTTTTTTTTTTTATACAAAAACACCCTGGTTCGCAGAACTCCTCTTACATTTTATGCAGTAGCCTAATTATCATTTGGAAGATGATTGATTGCGTCCTGTAGATGTGGAATAAGGTTTCTGAATTTTTCAATTCATCTTGTGGGACAAATAGGGGCTGAAAAATAACTTTTCTTTTTGCATTTTTAATCTACATTTTGTAACCATGGCAGCATTATTCAAAGAAATCAAAAACTGATGAACATTAAATTATGTACATTATGAAAGGGTTATGTGCACAAAGTCATTGAATTTGAACCAAAACTCTAGGAGGAGTAGCGTTTTGAATGCATTTCACAAGAATATCTTTTTTTTTTACTAACCATGGCAATAGTATAATAGGAAATCAAAAACCGATAAAGAGAATTATGTACATGTATCTTAGTATAGTCTACTTGGCTCCAGGTATTAATGAAATCCATAATCAAAGCTGTAGGAAGAGTAGAGTTTTGAAAGAACACATTTGATTCTACACTATGTTATGAAGTTTTCACATAAAGTTATTTTTTTCTTGTCCAGTGGTTTTTGAGAGGACTTTTGAAGATTTATATTCCCTATACATTCCCATGTAAATCTTCGATCCCTTATTGTAGCCCCAGCCTACCCAAAGAGGTCATGATTTTGACAAACTGGAATTAACACTAAGTGTTACCTAAGTTAAAACTTTTTGTAGAGGCTCATGTATGATAATTATACCCTGAGGGGTAAATCAGTTGAGGGTTCAGTGAGTTGTTTTCAAATTATTAAACATATCGGTAATTTAATTCATTTGTGCATGCTCCCGAAGACAGTTGTGTATTTTTTAAGGGATTTAAGTAAAAAACTTACGTGTTTTAAATAATAGAAGTTCCAAATCATGAAAAAGACTTCTTATGTTCTTTTGCAATTAATTGTAGATCAAAGACATGATTGTGAGTAAACTTATTTTTTATATATCTGGGAGTGATATCAATTTAGCTGCAGTTTGAATTACATGTAGTATAAAATCCTTAAAAAATCATCAATTAAAAAAATTCTTATATTATTCCATTTTAATGGTTGGTTCAAGTAGATGTCAGAACAAAGGAAAGAAAGAAAGAAAAGGAGAAAGAGAGAAAAAATACCCCAGGTTTATAGCCATATGCAAAACTAAAAACTTATGATCGCAAGTGCTCAGAAAGAACTATAATCTATTTGAAAAAATTCATGCATTGTTTTCAGAATAGCTCGAAGCTGAAAATGTATACAATGTCACCATAGTATGACTTTTATCCATGTTGAAAAACTGCATATTTTAGAAAACGGTACATTATATATAGCT